TGTATAGAAGACACCTGTTCACAGAAGCAATCAATCAATCAGATTCCAAACTCTCCACCATGGCCAAGACCCAAGAGCTCTCCAAGGATGTCAGGGACAAGATTGTAGACCTACACAAGGCTAGAATGGGCTACAAGACCATCGCCAAGCAGCTTGGTGAGAAGGTGACAACAGTTTGTGCGATTATTCACAAATGGAAGAAACACAAAAGAACTGTCAATCTCCCTCGGCCTGGGGCTCCATGCAAGATCTCACCTCGTGGAGTTGCAATGATCATGATAACGGCGAGGAATCAGCCCAGAACTACACGGGAGGATCTTGTCAATGATCTGAAGGCAGCTGGGACCAGTCACCAAGTAAACAGTTGGTAACACACTACGCCGTGAAGGACTGAAATCCTGCAGCGCCCGCAAGGTCCCCCTGCTCAAGAAATCACATATACATGCCCGTCTAAAGTTTGCCAATGGACATCTGAATGATTCAGAGGACAACTGGATGAAAGTGTTGTGGTCAGATGAGACCAAAATGGCATCAACTCAACTCGCCGTGTTTGGAGGAGGAGGAATGCCGGAGGTGGAAACATTATGCTTTGGGGGTGTTTTTCTGCTAAGGGGACAGGACAACTTCACCGCATCAAAGGGACGATGGACGGGGCCATGTACCGTCAAATCTTGGGTGAGAACCTCCTTCCCTCAGCCAGGCAATTGAAAATGGGTCGTGGATGGGTATTCCAGCATGACAATGACCCAAAACACACGGCCAAGGCAACAGAGGAGTGGCTCAAGAAGAAGCACATTAAGGTCCTGGAGTGGCCTAGCCAGTCTCCAGACCTTAATCCCATAGAAAATCTATGGAGGGAGCTGAAGGTTCGAGTTGCCAAACGTCAGCCTCGAAACCTTAATGACTTGGAGAAGATCTGCAAAGAGGAGTGAGACAAAATCCCTCTTGAGATGTGTGCAAACCTGGTGGCCAACTACAAGAAACTGTCTGACCTCTGTGATTGCCAACAAGGGTTTTGCCACCAAGTACTAAGTCATGTTTTGCAGAGGGGTCAAATACTTATTTCCCTCATTAAAATGCAAATCAATTTATAACATTTTTCACATGCGTTTTTCTGGATTTTGTTGTTGTTATTCTGTCTCTCACTGTTCAAATAAACCTACCATTAAAATTAAAGACTGATCATTTCTTTGTCAGTGGGCAAACGTACAAAATCAGCAGGGGATCAAATACTTTTTTCCCTCACTGTAGCTTTCTGAGCTTCAAATCGTCGACGTCTTTCTTCATTCGATTCCTGCCTCCTTCATGCCTGTGAGGAGCTATGTCACAATCTGTGATGTATTGTTTGGGACCCATATTGTCTGTTGAATTGCTGCTTGCAAAAGGTTTAAGTGAGTTTTGTGCGAAGATGGGTACTTGGAAAATGACCAAAGTGTTTTGTAATTGAGGTTTTGTCATTGAAAGAGGACCAATGTTTTTTGTAGACATTATTTAGTCCAGAATAGGACTATGGATTTGTATTAATATTTTCCTTGAAAAAGGTGTTTCAGTAGTCCTGAAGAGGGCTGACAGACCTTTTGGAGTTTTCAGAATTTTTGTCGGTTGCTTGTAGGGTATATTACTCCAATAATATATCCAAAGAATGTATGTTTTGTTGTTTTGTGCAGTTCTGTTCTGCAGTTGGCGATGTCTTGGAGATCATCATTGAGACCGTATTGTTCCCTCCTGATTACCATGTACAGAATGCAACCACACCTAGACATAATACACAGCAGGTTTTACTCCCTTGAATCAGTATTAAGCATTATGCAGCATTGAATGACCATTGTTGTATCAAGCAACCTTCTGGGGATGTCTGGGGTGCGGTCCAACAGCAGCAGTGACCTTACTATGGTTGTTGGCCTTTGCCATCCTTTTCTGGGGCCACGGGGACAACCGACTGGAAAATGGAGTTGCACTTTTTAAAATGGAATAAAGGGTGCCAAACCACTTTGTTTTTGTTTCTTGATATCTGGGCTTGTTGGGGGCTTTGTGTCGTGGGCAGGACAAAGAACCGCCCCCGATCCACTCCCTGGATCCTGACTGGAAAATACACACCCCACTTTTTTTTTTTATGAAACCAAGGGCACTGACCAACTTTTCCTTCATGAAGTTTGTTTTGATATCTGGACTCCTTGGGGGGTACTTTGTTTAGCGGGTGGGACAGAACAGGACCCTGCGGGGTGGGCTGGTAGGAACGAATAACCAAATAATATAAACATAATGTATTATTACACTTGTTTAGCCAGGAAAGCCCCACTGAGTCAAAAGGTTTTTGTAGGGTCCTGCCAAGTGTTTGCAGTAGGGGGCGATGTTGCTACACCTAATCGGACGATACGAAGGGAGAGATTGAGGCCTAGTTCTAGGCTTTAGGCCTAGATGTAGGCTTTAGGGCGCTGAGTTAATTTTTAATTTAAATGTTTTAATGATTTATGTAAAAGCTTTAAATTTAAATGTTTCTATTTAAAAACATGAGGGAATGTAACATTGTTAAACATTAACTCCCTTTCACACACGCGGGGGTACAATACGAAGGGAGTTTCAGGCCTAGTTCTAGGTTTTAGGGCGCTGAGTTTTTTTTTATTTAATTTCAAAGTTTTAATTAAAAGCTATCTCAGGGAATTATTAGGGCGCTGTGAGTTTGTTTTATTTAATTTCAAAGTTTTTTAGTTAAAAGCTATCTCAGGGAATTATAAGGGAATGTTACACGTATTTAGCCATGAAAGCCTCATTAATTTAAATGTTTTAATTAAAAGCTATCTGAGGGAATTATAAGGGAATGTTACACTTGTTTAGCCAGGATAGCTTCACTGAGTCTAAAGGTTTTTGTAGGGTCATGCCAAGTGTTTGCAGTAGGGGGCAATGTTGATACACGGACGGACGGACGGACAAACGGACGATATAATCTATTGGTGTCTGGTCCACTTCGTTCCTACCAATATAACCCCCCGATCCACCCCCTGGACCCAGAGCAGATCCCCTGAGTGGACCCCAGAGCGGACACCGACCCCCCCCCCCCTAAAAACTTGATCACCCTGCGAAGCTTGCAATTGAAAAGCTTCCAAACCCACAGAGGGGGAGGGGGGGCCCAGACCCCCACCGTTTTGGCCAAGTAACACCGAGATGTCGTCAACCAAAACCAAACGTTCCAAACGGGGTTCTGACCCCCCCCCCCCGCCCCTAGAACCCCCAATCCGTTGTCCACACATTTTTAGGTGCCCACGAACGCCCATTTCGAAACCGAGGTGCTCCTGGGGGGCGGCCGAGAGAGGGGGGGGGGGTAACCTGGCCTAAGACCTGAAGGTAAAACATCCTGGATCACCCTGCGCAGGCTTCAGGTCTCCATCTTCAAAACTGTGTGAATGCATCCTGGCAAGCAAATATACAGATACAGACACATCCTCCTGTACTGATGCAATATTACAGCGCCAGGAGGGCGAGCGTGGAGGCATCAGCAGCCACGCTACAGGTGGTGATGGTTATGGGGAGGAGAGCGGAGGGAGTGGGGAGGGTGGGAGGAGGCGCTACCACCAACAATTTCCCAAGTTCTGTGGTCCTCTATATATGAAAGTGTTATCAGCGTTAATGTGTTGAGGAGTTGAGTGGTGACGGGATGTCACACTCGCCTCGGGAGGAGTGACGTCATGTCCCCTCGGGGTATTTGAGGGGGTACCGGTGACGTGGACGAGGTCTTCGCCAGGAGCCGGGTTCTTGAGCGGTAGGGAAGTGGGGACCCAGGGTAATAGCACCAGGCTAGGGGGGGCTACTTTACCCGGCTGGCCGAGTTGGATGAACCATCGGTCAGCGCTGTGGGAAGAGCCCGTTGGCCTGGGAGGCATAGGGATTCCCAGTATCCTTTACCCTGGGGAGATTTAGCTTTACCAAAGTCTTGTATTATCCCTTCCCCCAAAAGCTAGGCGAAAGCCGTAATAAGCCGTTTGGCGTGAGCCCCGACAACAACTGCCTTCGTGTCGTCTTTAACAACACAACATATATAAGAGGAAACCGGAGCACCTGAAGAAACCTCACGCGTGCGAGCGGGCAATACTCTATCCCATACAGATGGACCTGCTTGTTGTGTTTAGTTGTCCTTCCCCCACACCTCCGACTATCAGAGTTGGCTACGTACAGTGCGAGAGAAGTTAAAAATACATCCACACATCTGACTCGCTCATTCTCACACTCACTGTCCCGCTCTCACTCACTCTCACCGTTTTACTTTCAGTGCCTCTTAGACTCACGCTCACTCACTCTTGCACACACTCACTGCCGAGCTGATCTCGTCAAGGAGCATAAACCGTCACGCAAACTCCGATCATTCTCACTGCGGCTTGAGGCTAACCATCGAACAAAGGGTCGCCGCATCGCGCGCTTTCAGATGCACTTCTGCGGCCGTCTGGAAAGCTCTTCCGATATTAGAAAACCACTGGAGCTATGCACTTTTAAATCATCTAGATCGACAAACTAATTTCTTTAGAACTGCTTGTTGTGTTTAGTTTGTTGTCCTTCCCCCGCACCTCCGATTAGCGCAGTTGGCTACATACGGTGCAAAAGAAGTTCAACACACACTACATACAGACAGCAGGTGGAGTCCGCACACTTTGCCGTACTGCCTCCTCCTGGCAGAGCCTGGGTAGGGCTCCTCCTTGACGGGTAGAAGGGAAGGACTTTCACAGCCCATCTGTGTGTGATCCACCTACCCTTGCTGCTGCTGCTTCCACAGCCATCGGATGACTACAGGAAGCCACGTGCAGCAGCAGCAGCATGGCCGCCACCGCCTAAGATGGGCTCATGAAACCCGCCTGCGTGATCGTTTTGAGTTTCACAAGCTCGGAAGCTACACACGTTTAATGAAGTTCAAGGTCTTACACATCCCGATTTAGCAGCACCCTCCTGAAGACGAGTCTTGAGACTTAGCAGGCTTTGCTGGATAACTAAAGGGCATCATTCTAGACCAGACATGGGCAAAGTACGGCCCGTTGGGCTTTTTAATCCGGCCCGCCAAACTTGTCCAAATATTATTATTACCTCCCTCCTGTAATGCCCCCATTCCCCCATTAGACTGTGTAATTCAACAAAACAAACAAAACTTAACTCCGAGTTCTTTCCGAATTTCACGAGTCCGTTCTAGACCCCACAGTTTTTTTAACGACTTTTAAGCACAGAAAACATAATTAAAGTTTGAAAAATCATTAATTATACAAACTTTTCAATAATTTCCTTCTTCACTTCGATTTAAATTTTCTTTAAAAACTTCTTCTCACCAACATTACCACTCATTACCACTTTCTCCGAAGGCAAGTTTGTAAAAGAATACATGGTACAAACAGCAGACATCTTGTGTCCGGAGATCAAAAGCAAATTTGAAAAAGTCAGTTTATCACGCAAGACTGTGACTCGCCGTGTGGAACTGATTGATCAAAAATATAGCCAGTCAATTAAACAAAAAGTCTGATTCCTTTATCCGAGGCATTGACGACAGTTTTGCGATAACAGAGGAGTTTTTGACCATGGAGTCCCTGAAAGGAACAACGCGGGAAGAGGACTTGTATAACCAGGTATCTGCTGTCATCGAAAGAATGACGCTACCTCGGAGTAAACTTGTCAATGTCACAACGGATGGATCGCCAAATTTAACTGGAAAAAATGTTGGGCTTCTGAAAAGAATCCAGGATAAAGTGAAAGAGGAAAACCCTGTCCAGGATCTTATTTTCCTTCACTGCATCATCCATCAGGAATCTCTGTGTAAGTCTGTATTGCAGCTTAATCATGTCGTGAATCCAGTCGTAAAACTTGTGAACTTTATACGAGCAAGGGGACTTCAGCACCGTCAGTTTATTACGTTCCTGGAGGAAACTGATGCGGATCATCAGGACTTGCTGTACCACTCTCATGTCCGCTGGTTAAGTTTGGGTAAAGTGTTACAACGAGTGTGGGAGCTGAAAGAGGACATCATCACATTTTTGGAGTTGATGGGGAATTTGACGAATTCCCTGAACTAAGCGACAAGAACTGGCTTAGTGATTTTGCGTTTGCTGTGGACATATTTTCACACATGAATGAGCTGAATGTGAAACTGCAGGGGAAAGATCAGTTTGTTCACGACATGTACAAACATGTGAAAGCCTTCAAATCCAAGCTCACTATGTTCTCCGGAACAAATTGCGAACAAATCTTTCGCTCATTTCCCCACACTTGCCATGCAGGAAGAGGCACCGCGAAACGCAAAAAAATACAGCAAATCGCTTGAGGACCTGCACGGAAAATTCTGCCGTAAGTTCTCTGATTTCGAAAACATTGAACAGTCACTTCAGCCGGTGTCCTGTCCCCTGTCACAAGACCCTGAAACAGCACCACAGGAGCTGCAGTTGGAACTGATAGAACTTCAGTCTGACTCCGTCCTAAAGGAGAAGTTCAACTCTGTTAAACTGAATGACTTTTATGCTTCACTTAACAGAGCCACGTTTCCAAACCTCCGGAGGACTGCACAGAAGATACTGACTTTGTTTGGCTCGACTTATGTGTGTGACCAGACATTCAGCATCATGAACGCCAACAAAGCCCGTCACAGATCAAAGTTAACGGATCAGCACCTCAGATCTATCCTGAGAATTGCCACAACCAAAATAACTCCAGACTTGGATGCACTGGCAAAAATGGGAGATCAATAACACTGTTCCCACTGAAACTGAAAGTGATGATGTGTTGCTGCAGCGAGGTTGGAGCCAAATCTCCAACACACAGCCTGCGTGTCTGCTCTCACCTGTTAATGTAGATTATAAAGAAGTTCAAGTGAGGTAATTGGTTTGGCGCAGGCCTCAGATGTTTTCATGATGTTTCATCAGTCACGTTACGACATGTTTTTGTATTGTTCATGTTCGTGCAATTTGTTAAATTTCCTTGCAAATAAATGCTTTTCTACCTGTTAAAGGCCAAATCCTTTCATGTAATGATTTTTACATGTCATTTATATTAGTTCACACAAACACTCCATCGATCTGTTCCTGGCCCAGCCCCTCTGTCAAATTTTAGAACCCATTGTGGCCCGCGAGTGAAAAAGTTTGCCCACCCCTGTTCTAGACGATGTAGGTGCCTTGCTGCGTGCGTATGTGCATGTAAGGGTGGCGGGGAGCGTTGATGTAGCGGTCAGCGCGATGCGCTACGAACCCGGCGACCCGAGTTCGATTTCTGCTCACGGCCAACACGAATAACAATTATCTGAACCGGGTATAGGCCTCCCCTTAGGTCGCTTCAGCCTCAAATGAGTACCTAGTGTGGTGTGTAAACATTGCCATTGGGGAGACAAAGGCGGCCGGGCGTGGTGTTGGCTACCCACCCCCTCGTGTGCCGTTCCGGCCTTCATAGGTGCTCGCTAACAGCACTTGCCCTACAGTCTGTTACAGGCTACACGGGGGATATTTGTCTTTGTGTACAACTTGGTTGCTCTTTCTTTCCTCTTCTCCGATGCCGACTCAGGAGTGAAGTAGGGAAAGTATAATTATCAACAACATCAACAACAACATCAACAACAACAACATCATCATCAGCATCATCAGCAGCAGCGTTTAACACGCCGCAGGTTTTCGTGGCCGACAGAAAGTTTCAGAATTCATTTTTGTTTTGGGGTGAGGGCGTCACGCAAGTAAAAATATTGTGTCGTGTTAACCCTCCTCCACCCGACAGGGCTAGTTGACAAAGTTGTTACGTGGTGAGCAAACAAAGTGCCGGATCGTCGGCACCGCGTGAGCACCGCCACCACCGTTAGCGCCTCCAACACCGCCCTGGGAACGAAAGCTACAAGCAGCGGCACCAGGCAGTTGGCAGACATCTGATTTATTCTAAAAAAAGAAAATCTATAATGAAGCAATATAATAACCAACATCATCATCATCGCTACAAGGTCAATACAATGCATACCACTTCAGTGGGAAAGTCAACAGTGGCCGTCAAACAGACGAACAGACCGGACTAGTCAGAAGCAAATGTGGAATTTCTACAATTGTGTCCCAGTGCCCATTGATAGAAATAATGCCGCCCCCAACATTTGGACGGCGTTGGCCTTTTGATTAAGGTGGCATCTACGGAAGGAAGCACAGCAGGTAGGATTTCCTCCAAAATGTAAAAAATATATATTTAAAAAAATTAATTGACCGGTCTATTCCAACGAAGCAGGACCCTCATTTTTTTTCTTCTGGTTTAAGGAATTTAAAAAAATACACATTCCCACAGACAAGGTTTACAAATGCTTTTGTTTCTCCGTAATATTCTGTGGTGCCTGATGCGCGTACATCTCCGTGTTAATACAGCGCTCCGCCAAAGTAAGATGCACTTTGGTAAAGACACGCGTTTTATATCGGCAGAAGACGATTCTGAACAACAAGACCACATCTTCCGGAAGATAATCACTTTTTAGCGATGTTTACCAGAAAATCATTCTGACGGCTGATGCCCAGTCTCTGCTGTCTCTCTGGGTGTGTTCGCTAATCGCAGCGGAGGAAACTGCCATGGTGGCTAGGAGATGTTAACTCCTTCGCCTGGTATACAGGAGGTCGTGGGGTCGATCACGACCATAACGATGCCTGTTGCTCTAGATTTGGAGTCTGCGTCTCTCTCATCATCATCATGGTGGCTAGGAGATGTGAACTACCTCACTTGGTATGCAGGAGGTCGTAGGGTCGATTACGACCCCTGACAATGTCTGCTGCAATACATTTGGAGTCTGCGTCTCTCTCTCTCATCACCATCACCATGGTGGCTAGGAGATGTTAACTACCTCGCCTGGTATATAGAAGGTCGTGGGGTCGATTTCGACCCAGACGATGCCTGCTGCTGTTGCTGTATATTTGGAGTCTGCTTCTCTCTCGCTCTCTCCGTGGTGGTCGCGTGGATTTTTCTCCAGGTCTTCCGTTTTTTTTCACTCCACATTTTTAATCAACAACTCGACTAGAACACATCTTCCAGTAGAGAGGGTGCATTTTCAGGATGATAAGATGTACCCCCAAATTAAAAGATATAAAAATAGAGTATACCAACGAGCATCTTATAATCAGGAGAATACGAGAGCGGGCAATGATTTGACCGACATCCCAGCTAGCGCCGGTGATAAAGGAAGCTCCCTGAAGGCGTACAGACAGACCGAAGGTCCGTGGTGGCTTCACAAGCGATGGACATTTAGGCGATTGGGAGAACGGTAGCTCAAGGAGTCCACAATAGCCGAGTCAGAGAAACCGAAAACGCTGAGACCCAGCATTCCCATGCGGGTTTCAGCTGCCAAAGCACACCAATTACGCCGGGGTTTCCAGTGCAGAGGGGGTTGATGGTCTTAGCCCAATCACCAGTCACTTGCATAGAGACTCATAGAGTCGCACAGAGCCATAGTCTCACGCAGAAATCCATAGACTCACGCAGAAACCCATACACTCACGCAGAGGTCCATAGACTCGCGCAGATCATCACGTAGACTCAACTATGATTAAACCGGGTTCTCAAGAGCAATGGTGGAGCCAGGATTTTCAGGTAGGGGGGCAACCCCTCCAGCAATGAAAAATGATGGCGCAGCCATCGATCGAGGGTCGAATTCGAACCGCGTGTGATCGGCATTGCGCTCGCTGAAGGTGTTTTGCCTTTAGGGAAGTCGTGTACTGTATACGCAACTGCAGACAATTCTGAGTCACTTATAACTGCTTTGCCGTTACTTATTGCCAATTATGGACGCAGACTATTGTCCTATCATCTCAGAGTCCCTAGCACGTAATAATATGCTACACAGTGGCAGTGGGGGTCGCAAAATGCCGATTTATCTCCATATATCAGGCAAAGTTGTGATTATGTGTGTCTGTTCAAAATGTTTAGCATACTTCCCGACATGCAACAAACTTGAAATTTGCCATGTGGGTACTTTCCAGACTGTACACCATGCACAAATTATAAAAATACACTTTTTTTGGGGGGGGGGGGGGGAGAGCTCAATAATGCAGAATTTTTTTGCACGGCAAGTGAGCTGTGACGTCAAATCTGTCATGTGACCCGCGCATGAGGAAGCGTAACGCATTGTAGTGTCGTGGTTAGCGCGGCGCACAACGAACCCGGCAACCCGAGTTCGATTCCCGCTCACGGCCACCACCGGTGACGATTATTTTTACCGGTCCTCCTGGGCCTCCCCTAGGTCGACTCAGCCTCAAACGAGTAACTGCTGTGATGTGTGAACATCGCCACTGGGGAGACAAAGGCGGCCGGGCGTGGTGCTGGCTACCCACCCCCTCGTGGGCCGTGCCGGCCTTCATGGGTGCTCGCTAACAGCACTTGCCCCTACAGTCTCACAGGCTACACGGGGGATCTTTGTCTGTATCCTGTGGGTGGGTGGGGGGGCAGCGACTGCGTAGCGATTCGTGCGCTGCGCTACAAACCCAGCGACCCGAGTTCGATTCCCACTCACGGCCACCACCGGTCACGATTATTTGAACCGGTCCTGGGCCTCCCCTAGGTCGACTCAGCCTCAAACGAGTAACTGCTGTGATGTGTGAACATCGTCACTGGGGAGACAAAGGCAGCCAGCCATGGTGAATTTAAGTCCCGGGCGAAGCCGGGTAGTAAAGCTAGTTACTAATAAACCCCAATGATCCGTGCCACCCCCCCCCCCCCCCCCCACTGGTTCCGCCAGTGCTCAAGAGAGAGTTGATGATAGTCTCAGCCTGGTTACCAAGCGACTTGCAGAGTGAAGTGTAATTAAACTGGTTCTCAAATGTAGTGGGGCTGATGGTCTCTAGGCAGTCATCACTGATCGCACAACAAGAGATACCTTCCCAATATTTTCTAGTACTCCAAAGCCGAGTGCAGCACTGAGGGCTATAAACACGAGGTGACCGCAATGCCAGGGGGGTTCGCGATTTGATTCACAATTTACATTATTTTAAACGCCGCGTTGGATGTAGCGCCTCTAGCGGCTGGAGGGAGAGGGTTCACGTTGACCCACAGCATACACCGCGAATCGAACACAAGTGCATACCTGTCAACCCTTTATCAGTGCCCTACCTTATTACAGACCAATTCAGACCTTATTGGTCACTCAGTACCCTTATAGATCTCAACGGTTATCCAAGGGAGAAACACAAATGGACGATGTTTTTGTTGCCCGTATTGAAGTGGCTGTATGCCGTATGGACCTGACACTGTACGGGTTGACAGCTATGCAAATACATTGCCCCCCCCGCGCGGTCGTACGCATGCATGCGAGCGTTCAAAAATAAAAACAACACAAACCGAACGGATTTTAAGATTATGGAATCACCGCGTCGCTGCACGGACCAGGGTTGGTCGGCCCTGGGTCAGTCAGGCGGGAGTCGATAGGCCGCAGGGGCCGAGCTGTGAAGAGTGTGGGGCCCTGCAATCGGTGGCTTTGCCCGATGTGCATCACGTCTTCAGCCGTGGTGCTGCCACCTGTTCCTGTTTATCCGGGAATGTCCGCACCCCCCCCCCCCCTCGCGTTGAGATAGCGGGCCGGAGAAATCTGGACGTCTTCCCAGGGACAATTCAAGTTCCCACGTTGCTTTGTGTGAGTTGAGTAAAAATGCCCCACTCCAGTTGTACATGCAGTTCTCCCCTCCCGCTGTCGCCAAATACTCTCCTTATTCGCCCCGCGAGACGTCCCGGGTTCGTCCACCTCAGAGGTGGCAACCATACCTTTCCGGGGCAGTATTGCGTTTGTTTTCGCCATGTTGCTAAATCCACCGCGCAGAGCCAGCCATCTCCACCGCCTCCTCCTCCACCTCCCCCTTTTCATCTTCCTCTTCACCCGATCGTCATTTAAAAAGAAAAACCGTTCACGGTAAAAACCATCGATAAAAACTACAAAAAAAAACACTCGCGATCGTAAAGTCAGCCACTCAGGTCAGCACCTGAGGCCTGTCGCTCCAGGCCTGAGCTTTCTTCTTGGCGAGCGCCAGCCACGTGGGCTCGGCGCTAGCGGCGCCAGCGACCACTGCTAGTGCCGCAGGAGAAGCGGAAGCAGCAGCGTTGGGCGCTGGCGACCGCTCTGTTCCGGAGGGCGCCGCCGGCCGCCGGTGGCCACCGCCGCGAGCTGCTGCTGCTGCCCCGCTCGGCCTCGACTGGGAGCCGAGGAAAGCATGAGCGGGCGGCGCCCGACGCCACTCCACTCCTCCATCGGCCGCCGACATCGGCTCTTGCCCTACCCTGCGCTGCCGCTGCTGCTGCTGCTGTTGTTGCTGCTGCTGTTGTTGCTGCTGCTGTTGCCGCTGCAGCTGCGGATTCTGCTGCCGATGCTGTTGCCGTTGCAGCTGCTGATTCTGCTGCTGCTGTTGCTGATTCTGCCGCTGCTGTTGTTGATTCCGCTGCTGCTGTTGCCGCTGCTGTTGCTGATTTTGCTGCTGTTGTTGTTGCCGCTGCTGATTCTGCTGCTGTTGCTGAGGCTGCTGTTGGTCGCGGTGCTCGGCGAAGCCGCGCTGTTTGCGCCGGGCGAGCGTGATCCACGTGGGTTCCTGCGCAGGGATGTGGAGGGGCGTGGATGGAGCGGCGGCAGCGGGGTCCGGAGCGGGAACTGTGACGCACAAAGGGAGAGGGGGCGAGAGGAAGGCGCTGGGTTGACGGGACGCGGGTCGAGACGAGCGGGAGTTGACAGGGCGGCAGTCGTCACGGCGGCCGGCGTCACCGCGACCATAGTCCCCCCCACCCTACCCCAGCAAGCTCGACCCCTCTTTCCGTTGTCCCACCAGCGAACAAAGACGGCCGGCACTGCATCGTCGCGCGGCACTTCCAGACGCGCTTCCGCGGCCGTCTCGAACGCTCTTCCTTCCCACGTTAGGAAGCCACTGGGAGCTGTGTATCATCTACATTGAGAACTCGTTACGTTAGAACTGCTTTTCGTGTTTAGTTTGTTGTCCTTCCCCCCGCACCTCCGACTAGCGTGGTTGGCTACGTACGGTGCGACAATACATACAACATACGTACATACGTACTGTACATACATCATACATTGGTCCTGCCCGTCAGCTCCACCCCCCTCCTCCCATTGGCTCTTCCTTTCCTCCATTATGGATGTTTCTCCGCATTCTCTGGTTTTCGCCTCCACATTTAGAATCAACATCATTTGGCTGCCGCGATAGATTTCCACACGATGATAAGCCACTTTGTCGAGCCACCACTTGCGATAAGCCAGGTCGCTTCGGAAAAAGAGCGACACAGTACCTCAGTGGGGCCTTACGTGGTGAAATAAAAAAAAATTGTTTAGTTTATAGTTTGAGGCTGTATCTCAGAGGTAGTTGTGCGATATCCACTTCCGTGGACCGTTCCCTCATACGTTGTATGATGGACCGCTCTGGGAGATTTGCTGATGGATTCGTGACACCACGCCAGACGGGGCAATCCAGATACGGTTGAGGAGGGAAAGACAAAAAAAGAATCTAATCTAAAAGAGAGAAGAACCATCGTTGGCCCATCAACTCATGACGACTACTTCAGAAAAACCACTGATGCCGAGTGTTACAACTAGTTTTCACGCAAGTTAATTCTCACGGCCAACTCCGTGAGATCCACCCTCCGGATTGTTCACCTTACGACACAATGCCGGTCACATAACCAGGGTAAAACGTGAAAGGGGGGGTGAGGGGGGAAACCGAGTGGGACCGAGGCCATAGCAGCACTGACCCGCAACGGCACTCCCCGTGCGGGAGTCCAACTTGTGCTCGCCGCCGCCTGCCGCCGCCGCGCTCTCTGCGGGCCCCCCTCGCGCCCCCCTCCCCTCGCCCCGCCTCGCCGTGCCCCCCACGGCTTTCTCAGCGATCGCCGAAAAATCCGGCGAGGCGGCCTTCGCCTTTGCCACCACCAAAGCCGCCACGGGCTGTACCCCTCGTTCCTCCTCCTGCTCCGGTGGCGGCGGTGACGACGGTGACGGCGGTGACAGAGTCATGGCCTCGCGGGCAGGAAGCGCGCCGGCCTTCGGGGACCTGTCCACGGTGCCGAGCCCGGCTCTGGCCACGCCCCCGGCCGCTCTGGTCTTGTCGGTGAGCGGAACCCCATCGCGTCCGGCCGAGGGCACCGTGGATTTCCCCGGCGTCCTCGCGGTTGGCGAATTTCCCACCACACGCGGTCCGCCCTTCCGAGCGGCCTCCGTGCCGTCCTTCGCCACCACCGCCACGCTGAGCTGCTCGCCGCCGGTGCTGTGCCGCTTGCGCACCCTCCTCTCCTCCGCCACGCGGTCCTGATTGAACTTGAGCGAGTAGGACGTGCGGCGCAGGCGCACACCGAACGGTGACGCCCCCTCTCCCGCTGTTCCGGCCGTCACAACCGCCGCTGCCCCCTCCTCCTCCTCCTCGCCATCGTCGTCGCCCGGCTTGGCGAAGGCAACGGAAGTCGTCGTTGTCCGCCCGCCGTTCGCGTCGCCCTCCGTCCCCCCAAACTCGACAATCTGCACGTTCCCAAACTCGCACCGGCGCTTCTGCCCCTCTCCCACCGTCGACTGAGATTCCCCCGCCCTCGTCTTCCCCGACTCCTGCCGCCCGACGCTTCCGGCGGCCGCGGCAAAGCTGGCGTCTGATTTGGGCCAGGTGGCGCGCTTGTCCTTGCCGGCCCGTGGCGTTCGAGCGACGACCATTGTCGGCGCCACCGCCTCGGACTTCCTCGCGGGCGCCCACGACGATGGCGACTTTCCAGCGTCGGCATCAAAATCTGAGAACGATGACCAAACGCCACTCGGTGACGGAGACTCAACGGTAGCCACGCGTGGATCCGAGGCCGGTGACTTGTCGTTACCCGCCCGCGCCTCGCCGACATCCGTGCTCGAGGACGGCACCCCGCCGGCACCAGCCGACAGCCGTGATCCACCGGGAGCCGCCTCCACGCCCGAGGGCGGCGATTTGTCGCTGCCCGCCCACGGCGACTCTCCGGCATCTGCTCCGAAATCCAAACTCCACGATCGGTCCCAGGCCGACGCGACCGAGAACTTGGCGCCCACCGAGGTGGCCTTGCGCAGCGGAGGGTGCCGTAGGATCGGGGAGTCGGACGGCGGCGTGGCCGCCAGGGAGAAGCGGAGGCCCCTGTGGAGGTTCTCCTCGCTGCTGCTCTTGACGATGGCGGCGGCGGTGCGGCCCGTGGGGATCACGGTGAGGCCCCCGGGCGTCGTGACGATGGTGTGGCCGCTGCCCGTGAACGTCACCACAGCGTCGTTCCTCCTCATCGTCGTCGTCTCGTGCTCCTGCCGTCTCGCGCTCCTCGGCGTGCGTGCGCTCGGAGCGGCGGTGACGGCGGCGGCGGGGGGGCGGCGGCCGTCTGGAGGCGAGGGGTCACGCAGCAGGTCAAGTACAGGGGAAGTATGGGGGCGGTGGTGGCAGTGGTGCCAAAACGGTATGGGGTGTGGTCGTTGCCTGCTCAGGACACTGCTGATCCAATGAGCTACGATGTCCAGTAGGACATCTGTGTAGGATGATTAGCACGGTTGACTACGTACGGTGCGAAAGAAGTTTGACATATAAAGAGGTGGGTCAGGAAAAATAAATAATACGTAAAATAGATTAAGTAAATAAGTTTACATTGCATGTATATAGAAGTTCTTTCGCCGACCACAGCAATACAACACACAGTAGCCCCTCAATAAAATTGCACATTAAAATGTACAGTGAGGGAAAAAAGTATTTGATCCCCTGCTGATTTTGTATGTTTGCCCACTGACAAAGAAATGATCAGTCTATAATTTTAATGGTAGGTTTATTTGAACAGTGAGAGACAGAATAACAACAACAAAATCCAGAAAAGCGCATGTCAAAAATGTTATGAATTGATTTGCATTTTAATGAGGGAAATAAGTATTTGACCCCTCTGCAAAACATGACTTAGTACTTGGTGGCAAAACCCTTGTTGGCAATCACAGAGGTCAGACGTTTCTTGTAGTTGGCCACCAGGTTTGCGCACATCTCAGAAGGGATTATGTCCCACTCCTCTTTGCAGATCTTCTCCAAGTCATTAAGGTTTCGAGGCTGACGTTTGGCAACTCCAGGACCTTAATGTGCTTCTTCTTGAGCCACTCATTTGTTGCCTTGGCCGTGTGTTTTGGGTCATTGTCATGCTGGAATACCCATCCACGACCCATTTTCAATGCCCTGGCTGAGGGAAGGAGGTTCTCACCCAAGATTTGACGGTACATGGCCCCGTCCATCGTCCCTTTGATGCGGTGAAGTTGTCCTGTCCCCTCAGCAGAAAAACACCCCCAAAGCATAATGTTTCCACCTCCAGCATTCCTCCTCCAAACACGGCGAGTTGAGTTGATGCCATTTTGGTCTCATCTGACCACAACACTTTCACCCAGTTGTTCTCTGAATCATTCAGATGTTCATTGGCAAACTTCAGACGGGCATGTATATGTGCTTTCTTGAGCAGGGGGACCTTGCGGGCGCTGCAGGATTTCAGTCCTTCACGGCGTAGTGTGTTACCAACTGTTTACTTGGTGACTGGTCCCAGCTGCCTTGAGATCATTGACAAGATCCTCCCGTGTAGTTCTGGGCTGATTCCTCACCGTTCTCATGATCATTGCAACTCCACGAGGTGAGATCTGGCATGGAGCCCCAGGCCGAGAGAGATTGATAGTTCTTTTGTGTTTCTTCCATTTGCGAATAATCGCACCAACTGTTGTCACCTTCTCACCAAGCTGCTTGGTGATGGTCTTGTAGCCCATTCCAGCCTTGTGTAGGTCTACAATCTTGTCCCTGACATCCTTGGAGAGCTCTTTGGTCTTGGCCATGGTGGAGAGTTTGAAATCTGATTGATTGCTTCTGTGAACAGGTGTCTTTTATACAGGTAACAAGCTGAGATTAGGAGCACTCCCTTTAAGAGTGTGCTCCTAATCACAGCTCGTTACCTGTATAAAATACACCTGGGAGCCAGAAATCTTTCTGATTGAGAGGGGGTCAAATACTTATTTCCCTCATTAAAATGCAAATCAATTTATAACATTTTTGACATGCGTTTTAATGGATTTTTTTGTTGTTAATTCTGTCTCTCACTGTTCAAATAAACCTACCATTAAAATTATAGACTGATCATTTCTTTGTCAGTGGGCAAACGTACAAAATCAGCAGGGGATCAAATACTTTTTTCCCTCACTGTAACTCGATACAACACGGGCAAGGATCAACGTTACAGATCACATTTGCAAATGCGGTTGCATCCAGCACTAACCTGCAGCTTCACGGAGGATAAACGACGTTGTTACCGACTATGCCACACTGGCCAGGCAGTTAAAGAGGTGGCAGTACCCACACTTTACCTCACCTGTACATCGGCTAACTGTGTACCCAATGCGAGTATAAAGTTTATTCTCAATTTGACTATTATAGCCACTGACAATACACGAACAGCCTTTGTGGGAGGGGGGGGGGGGGTGAGGCTGGGCAATAGTTGCTGCTATAATGCCGTAATGCCAACAGAGTGCTTGACGGTGTAAATTTGTGTTTCGCCGAATCCGACAAAACGGCACAAGAGTGGAAAGTTGCCTCAAGCGCCCTCTGCTGCTCATCTCTGCTGCACACCAAGAACTCTGCCGCACAACAACCACTGCTGACTTCCCACAAAGCGGTGCCTATAATATAATAAATTACTATAACTAGTTTTCTTTTATTTTAAGCTTTCGTGACTGCAGGAATCTATGCTCCTTGGTTCGTTCGGTAAAGTCACGTAGGTATAAAATACGTAGGTATTTTATACCTACGTGCCCACACTTAGACGAGTAGCTCTTTTTCAGAAGCGACCTGGCTATCACAAACGATAGCTCAACGCAGCAGCTTATCAAGTGGATATTTATCGCAGTCAAATATTATAAATGCGCGTTTCTAAACGTGGAGGGAAAAAGAAGTAGGACATGGAGAAAAATCCACACGGTCACAGGGAGAGAAACATGCAAACTCCAAATATACAGCAGGTGTCAGGGTTGGGATCGGACCCACGACATCCTGTATACCAGGTGAGGTAGTTAACACTTTTCAGCCACCGTAGCACCATATATACCTTACAGAGGTGGTGTTGTGAGTTAACCTCTCAATATAACAACGATTTGAAAAAATAGCTTCATACCAAACTTACTGGGAACAATGTCTCCTCCCGGAGTCGACAGTTTCACTCTCCTCGCCTCCTGCTCTTTGCCGATGCCTCGTCTCACCTCACCGTTGCCACCACCGCCAGCACCACCAGCACTGCCACCACCTCCAACGTCACTAATATGACCATCTCCATGACCACCACCCCCATGACCACCACCCGCATGGCCACCACCACCGCTGCCACCACCACCGCCGCCGCGCCCTCTCCTCTCCTCCTGTTGCCGGACAGAGGCCTCCGCCGCCTCCCTCTCGCTCCTCAGCTGCGAGTCCGTCACCAAGATGGCCGTGTGCGGTACGTCCACACGGGACACTGGCACCAGCTTCACCTCGTCGTAAACCACCGCCACAGCTGCTTCTGCCGCTGACGCCTCTCGCAGGTTGGAGGGTCCCGAGGAGGCAGCAGCGGGGGCCGCGGCTGCAGAGGGCGGTAGCGAAGGTTGGATCCCCATCCGAGTGGAACGAGGCAGCGCGGCTGTCAAATTTGGAGTCGGGGAAACACGGAGAGAGAGAGTGCACGCACCGAAAATACGAGCCATCAGGAGCCAGAGCGGCCGCGGTGGTGGTGGTGGCCACAATGCTGCACGTGGCTTGTAAACCAGCGCCGTGGAGGAAGAAACGGTTGGTGCGAAACTCGTTTCCTGTGGGCGTCGAGGAGCCGTACCCCTGCCTCTGCCAGAAGGCGATAAACAGCAGCAGAGTGTGTGGACTAATCTCCATCTGTTCCATCTCACTCCCTTCTAGTCATGGGTGGACTAATCTCCATCTGTTCCATCTCGCTCCCTTCTACCCGGGGGTGGACTAATCTCCATCTGTTCCAACTCACTCCCTTCTACCTGTGGGTCGGTGCCAAGCAGCCATACACCTGGCTCTGTTAGGAGAGGGCGGTAGAGCAGCAAAGTGCGTGGAGTAATCTCCATCTGCTCTATTTATTACGGGATAGAGTGTTGCTCCCTCGCACGTGTGGGCTTTCTCTGGATACTCCGGTTTCCCTCCCATATGCATAAACAACTCACAATTAATTGGTTGATAGCATCTTACATCGTTTTTAAAACCCAATGTAGCCGGATCCCCCTCGAAAGAGTCCTAGGACTTCTGGTAAATGAGTGCTTTTGTCTTTGCTGCTGCTGCTGCTGCTGCTCACCAATCACGGATCTCCCTTGTAGGGTGTTCAAGGTGCAGCGCTGCCAGTTGACATTTCGCTAACGTGCACTGCACCACGAAGACCAAACTGACTAAGAAGGCGTTGAGGTGTTCACAACCTAATGCTGAAGATTAATGTTATAACTTCGTTTATATCTTTTTTTACTTTTAACGAATGTGTAGGCTTATTGCTCCATGTAACTTACATTCATTCATGTGATGTTGTGCTTCCTCGTGAAGCGCCCTGTAAGGGGCCGTCCATAAATGACGTCATGCGATTTTGGACGATTTTTGACCCCCCCCCCCCCTTGTCACACGGCGTCACAAAAAGTCACGACCCCCCTCAAATATGACGTCACAAAGCTCTGCCCCCCTCCCCCCCCCAAAAAAAACATGCTTCAAATCGCTTTAAACTATTGTCATTGTAGTGCGTATTTAATGTGGCGCTGCACTCTGATGCTGTAGGAGAAAACATTTATTAAAAAGTATATTTAGTTAAGTAGAACGTGTTGTATATATTTATTTAAAGTTGCGCATTTTGATGTGACGTCACATTTCTCAACCACCCCCCCCTCGTCACACATCGTCACAAATGTTTGACCATCCCCCCCCCCCCCCAGGTGCGTGACGTCATTTATGGACGGCCCCTAACAGTGTCATTGCGAAGGGCAATGTAAGTACGACAAAATCGCCGCTCAGAGATTTGCCCACCATATATGGAACAAAGTGGGTGTCGCTTTAGCCGAAGAGGGCGTGTCTTTGCCCACATGTCGTCACTGTGGATCGTTAATCGAGGTTAATTATGATCGATTCCGCTCAATCGATTCACAATAAACCAATGTCAAAAAAAGAATCGTAATTTGCGCATTAATCACCGTGTCGATTTATTGGAAATCGATCCACGGATCGAGTTATGATGTAACACGCCCCCCCCCCCCCCCTTCATGTGATTGGCTAATATTGGCAAGATCGGTGATGCAGCCATAGACTGCTTTTATTTCCCCACAGCACCTTTGTTAAATGGAGTGCGTCGATATGACCGATGGTCAGATAGCCGGGGTAACCGGACACTCAGGACCATCAAAGTCAGAATGTTTATTTATACTGCAGGAGGAATCCGATGAGCTATGAAGCTATTTTTCACACATGTCCAGTGTACTTTCACAGACAACCGATTTGCACGGTTGGCTGCGTATGGTGATGAAAGAAGTTCAACATTCACGTGGCACAAGTATGAAAAAAATTAACCCGTAAAAACAAAGTTTTTCACTATAAATCCTTTATATGCGTGGCGGCTAGAGTCCTCTCGTCCTCTGGCTTGAGATGGCTGCCACCTATGGGTCAGATGATTGCCTGCCACCATTAAGCAATTGGTAATTAAATATAATTTATTTTTTCCTAAAAAGTGTAAAATTTTGGAAAATAAATTGTCACGCACAACGAGTCTGTGTGCAAAATGTCAGCTCGATTGGATCACGGGAAGTGGGTTAAAAAACGACCGAAAGATTTGCACGGTCGTAAGCGCGCAAGCAAGCAAGTGAACTTAATATAAAGGATTTTAAAATAAGAATAGATGTGTCCCCTTTCTGGCAATAAAACAGGTGTTGAGATGTTCAAACACCAAGTAGAAACCTTTTGCAAGGAATCATGTCTGCATCAACCACACGTACTTGTGGTGAACGTGCAAACAGACATGCTGTGATAATAAATGCACTGTCTGATTGGCCTACACCAGAGCCTTCTTTGTGGCCAGCAATAAAACAGGTGCTATTGCCAGAAAGGGTAAAACCGATTCTTATTTTGTCATGCTTTGATACTGGCAAAAAAGTCCCATTTCATGGCACAAGACAAATCAACTCAGGAATGCCCTGAAGAATACGTGCGTTGCGCCACATTCTGTCCCGTTGTCTGCATAAAGGCGTCGTGCGTAGCAGCAGTGGTGGGGTATTAGCAGCATGGGAGTCCATTCTAGGCGTTGTATTTAAACAGGTGAACGCTCTCTGAGATAGGCGCACGACACCACCGTGCGTTGTATTGACTCGACAAATAGCAAACACGGTTCGCCCGGACCCCGCGTCCGATCTTAATTAACCGTGTGTTTTTACTGCCCATGAGACTGTGTGTATAAGATTAACGGACGTGCGGGTGTGTCGGTTTGACAGCAGCGGTGTCAAGATCGGCCTCTGTGGAGGAGGGAGGAGGAGGCTCGTGAAGGGACGTTACTGGGCAGTTGGAGGCAGTCGCCCTCCAGCAACAATAGTGGAGGGCAGAGGGGCAGACGCTCACAACAACGGGCAGAGCGCCGGGCGGAAAAAACACAGCGAGTTTGTGCAGTAGGCGGCACAGGTGTTCCAACGGCAGCCATCTCAGTCGGTCGACCCATGGCACCGAGGTCTTAATGTGCACATAGCCTGGCACAAGTGGCGAGGTGACGTCACCAGTGGCGAATGGCGGTTGTTGTGAAAGTGAGTGAGAGTGAGGCTAAGTGAGACAGTGAGTGAGTGCCAGAGTGAGACCCTGAGAGTGAGTTGGCGCAGTAGGGGGTGGGAGGGGGGGGTACAGCAGGTGTGCATCTGGGCCAGCCGTCTCAGTCAGTCAACCCACGCCACCCGATTATGCTATCGGCATCGCGTGTTTGGCGGTGCCTGGAACGAGGCGAGCTGCGGTTGGAAGCAGAGGCTCACCGGGTTTGTCCGAAGGCGCGTGGCTCAACGCAAGCGACGCGGCCGCCGCTTCCCCGCCCACGTCCAGCGGTGGCGTGGCGGTGGGGAGGGATGTCGCTGCCAGACCCCGGCCAACTGGAAGGTCACAGGACAAGGCAACGACGATGATAATGATGATGTGTGGATTTAGAAGGGTGCAGCGGTAGCTATGAGATGTTAACTCCCTTGCATGGTATGCAGGATGTCGTGGGTCATGTATTTGGAGTTGCGTGTCTCTGTCCCCATGGTCATGTGGATTTTTCTCCGGTTCCTCAGGTATTTCCTTCCACACTTCGAATCAACATCATGCGCTTCAAGTATTTGGCTGCTATAAATTTCCACGTCATGATGAGCCACTTTGTTGAGCTATCATTTGCGGCTTCTTTAAGAGAGCTACACAGCTCAGTGGGGCCTTACCTGGTCAAGTAAAATAACAATAATTCAGACCACTATGCCATGGCGGCAGTGGACACAACCACCACCACCAGCACCGCCAGCACCGCCGTCGGGATGCATTTGGTTTGGTCGCGCAAGCTCACATGGAGACATCCTCACAAACCTCTCTGGGCGAAGGCTGCCGACGTGGCCTTGGAATCCGTGGGTCTCATCACGGGAGTGCTGACCAGCTGGAACACCTCCTCATCCTCCATCTCGCTGAAGCCTCGATCGGAGCTCTTGGGCAAATTCTGGCGACGCAAATGAATCATCGTCATCGTCGCTGCCGCCATCCCGTCATGCCTGGGGCAGGAGAACCCCTGCTGGTAGCTGCCTGCATTCCAAGCCAGGTCCGCGCGTCGCTCACAGCACCGTCGAGCATCGCTGATGAGTGTCACTCACCAGCGTCACTCACGAGCGTCACGAGCACCACCCACGAGCGCCGCTCACAAACGTCGTTCCCAGCAGCGGCGAGCGTTGTTCAGGGCCCCCCCCCCGCTCACCCGTGCAGCCACGCGGTGCTTGGAGGACGCCCTCTGGTTGCGTGGACGCACGGCCATCTTGTGGCGCGCGGCGCTGCTGTCCAGCAGGAGGTGGGCCAGAGCCGACGCCGCGGGGGGGGCGACGCCCTGGCCGCCCACGCGCGGAGTCTGTGTCGAGCAACACAGAGGGGCAGCAGAGCACGCACACACACAGTGAGCGAGTTAGTGACCAAGTGAGAACATGAGAGCATGTGAGTGAGCGAGCGAGCGAGCGAGAACGCATGAGAGTATGTGAGCTCGTGAGTGAGCGAGCGTGTTTGAGCGAGAGCATGAGTGCGAGTGTGTGAGCGAGTGAGTAAGCATGTTTGAGTGAGTTCGTGTGAGTGAGTGAGAGCGGGTGAGTGAGCGAGTGGGTGAATGAGTGACAGCGTGTGAGCGAGTCAGTCAATGATGTTTGAGTGAAAGTGTGAGTGAGAGTGTGTGAGTGAGTGTGAGCATGTGCGTGAGAGGGGTGTGAGTGACAGTGTGTCAGTAAGTGAGGGTGTGAGTGTGAGTATGTGCGTGAGTGAGAGCATATGAGTGAGAGCGAGTGAGCGTGTTTGAGTGAGCGTATTTGAGTGACCACGTTTGAGTGAGGGAGTGAGGGAGTGAGGGATTCAGTGAGCGAGCCGGTGAATGAGTGAGCACGTTTTTAATCGACAGCATGAGCGAGAACATGTGAGTGAGTGAGCAAGCGAGCGAGTAAATGAGCTAGTGAGCGAGCGGGTGAGCAGGGTGAGCGAGCAAGCGAGCGTGTTTGAACAAGAGCACGAGTGAGAGCGTGTGAGTGAGTGAGAGCGGGTGAGTGAGCGAGTGAGTGGGTGAATAAGTGACAGCATGTGAGCGAGTGAGTGAGTGAGCAAGTGACAGAGCGAGTGAGTGGGTGAATGAGCGAGCGAGCCAGTGAATGAGTGAGTGAGCGAGCATGTTTGAGTGAAAGCGTGAGTGAGAGTGTGAGAGCGAGTGAGTGAGGGCGAGCGAGTGAGAACGAGTGAGTGAGAGTGAGTGAGTGAGAGTGAATGAGTGAGTGCGAGTGAGAATGAGTGAGAGTGAGTGAGAGTGAATGAGTGAGTGAGTGAGGGCGAGCGAGCGAGCAAGTGAGAACGAGCAAGTGAGAGCGAGTGAGAGCGAGTGAGTGAGAGCGAGTGAGTGAGAGCGAGTGAGTGAGAGCGAGTGAGTGAGAGCGAGTGAGTGAGAGCGAGTGAGTGAGAGCGAGTGAGTGAGAGCGAGTGAGTGAGAGCGAGTGAGTGAGAGCGAGTGAGTGAGAGCGAGTGAGTGAGAGCGAGTAAGGGTGAGCGAGCGAGCAAGTGAGAACGAGCGAGTGAGAGTGAGTGAGTGAGTGAGAGCGAGCGAGTGAGTGAGTGAGAGTGAGTGAGAGTGAATGAGTGAGTGAGTGAGAGCGAGCGAGCGAGTGAGAATGAGTGAGAGCGAGCGAGTGAGTGAGGACGAGCGAGTGAGTGAGAGCGAGCAAGTGAGAACGAGCGAGTGAGTGAGAGCGAGTGAGAGTGAGTGAGAGCGAGTGAGAACGAGCGAGTGAGTGAGTGAGGGCGAGCAAGCGAGCGAGCAAGTGAGAATGAGCGAGTGAGAGCGAGTCAGTGACTGAGTGAGAGCAAGTGAGAGCGAGTGAGTGAGTGAGAGTGAGTGAGTGAGTGAGCGAGTGAGAGTGAGTGAGTGAGAGTGAGTGAGAGTGAGTGAGAGCGAGTGAGAGCGAGTGAGTGAGAGCGAGTGAGAACGAGCGAGTGAGTGTGAGAGTGAGTGAGAGCGAGTGGCGAGTGAGTGCGAGTGAGAGCGAGTGAGAGTGAGCGAGTGAGAGTGAGTGAGCGAGTGAGCGTGAATGAGAGCGAGTGAGTGAGTGCGAGTGAGAGTGAATGAGAGAGTGAGTGAGTGAGAGAGAGTGAGTGAGAGTGAGTGAGCGAGTGAGAGTGAATGAGAGCGAGTGAGTGAGTGCGAGTGAGTGAGTGAGAGTGAATGAGTGAGCGAGTGAGTGAGAGAGAGTGAGTGAGAGTGAATGAGCGAGCGAGTGAGAGAGTGAGTGAGAGTGAATGAGTGAGTGAGAGTGAGTGAGTGAGAGCGAGCGAGTGAGTGAGTGAGAGTGAGTGAGAGTGAGTGAGTGAGAGCGAGTGAGTGAGAGCGAGCGAGTGAGTGAGTGAGAGCGAGTGAGTGAGAGTGAGTGAGAGTGAATGAGAGAGTGAGTGAGTGAGAGAGAGTGAGTGAGAGTGAGTGAGCGAGTGAGAGTGAATGAGAGCGAGTGAGTGAGTGCGAGTGAGTGAGTGAGAGTGAATGAGCGAGCGAGTGAGAGAGTGAGTGAGAGTGAATGAGTGAGTGAGAGTGAGTGAGTGAGAGCGAGCGAGTGAGTGAGTGAGAGCGAGCGAGTGAGTGAGTGAGAGTGAGTGAGAGCGAGCGAGTGAGTGAGTGAGAGCGAGCGAGCGAGTGAGTGAGTGAGAGTGAATGAGTGAGTGAGAGTGAGTGAGAGCGAGCGAGTGAGTGAGTGAGAGTGAGTGAGAGTGAGTGAGGGCGAGCGAGCGAGTGAGTGAGAGCGAGCAAGACCTCTGTGGTCCTCGAGCCAGTGTAGACGCCGTCCTGGTTGCCGCCGGGAGAAGCGTCTGCGAAGAAGAAGAAGACGCTGTCGTGAGACAGAGCGCGGCTGCCCAAACTCGGAGACCTGGGCGCAGGGAGGGGGAGGAGGAGGGTCGGGGTTAGGAAAGTTGTCGCCGCCGGCCACTCTGCGGCGAGTATCTTTGCCGACGGATCTGGTTTATCAACAGAAGCGGCCGCTCTCGCGAGTAGCCGAGCTGCTGTGTGCACGCGCGAAGACGATGCCGGTCGTGACCTCCAGTGGAACGGCGGGGAAAATGTGTCAAACGGGCGCTCGCTTTCAGACGTTGCTCCACTTATGCTGATTAAATCAACCAAACGGCACATTTGCTCGTCACTTTCCGGCCCCGTGCCCACGAATGGACATTTGTGAAAAAGAGCTTTGTAGATCATCGGATTTCTCCAGGATAAAGATTCTGAAAGATTTGATCGAATTTGTTGCTGGGTGGTGGAGGGAGGGAGGGAGGGGAGGGAGGGAGGGAAGGAGGAGAGGAGGGAGGGTTGAGGGGAGGGAGGAGAGAAGAGGGAGAAGAGAGGGAGGAGAGCAGAGGGAGAAGAGGAGGGGAGAGGAGAGGGAGGAGGGGAGGAGGGTGGAGAGGAGAGGTGAGGGAGTGAGGAGAGGGAGTGAAGGAGGAAAGTGAGGGAGGAACGAGAAGGAGGGATGAGTGGGAGGGAGGGAGGAGGGTGGAGAGGAGAGGGGAGGGAGTGAGGGAGGAGAGGGAGGGAGGGAGGAGAGGGAGGGAGGAGAGTGAGGAGAGGGAGTGAGAGAGGGAGGGAGGAGAGGGAGGAGGGTGGAGAGGAGAGGGGAGGGAGTGAGGGAGGAGAGGGAGGGAGGGAGGAGAGGGAGGGAGGAGGAGAGGGAGGGAGGAGAGTGAGGAGAGGGAGTGAGGGAGGGAGGGAGGAGAGGGAGGAGGGAGGAGAGGGAGTGATGAGTGGGAGGGCTGAGGAGGCGCGACGGACCCCACGTGCGAAGCGTCTCCGGAGCCGGGCGAGCCGGGCTCCTGGACCTCGGCGTGGCTCACGTCGCCCGCCGAATGGCTCGGACGGAGCCTCGCGTCTCCGGCGGCCGCAGAGGCGGAGGCCGACCGCGGCGGTAGCGCCGCGTCACCCGCCCTGTGCTTCTTCTTGAGCCGGCGGAGCTGAGACGCCACGGCGGATGACGAGGAGGAGGACGCCGGCGCCGCGGCCTCATCGTGGGAGGCATCGTCCCGGGAGGCACCGCTCCCTCGGAAGAGGCGCTTGAACGAGAGGAAGCGCTTCTTCTTGGCTGGGAGCCCAGGAGGGAGCGTGCGAGCGACGCGGGAGAGAGAGCAGGGGAGAGTGGTGGAGAGCCAAGAGGGAGAGTGAAGGGGAGAGGGAGAGGTGGGGGGGGGTGTGAAAGGGAGAGTGAAGGAGAACGAGAGGTGGAGGGAGAGCGAGAGTGAGAACTCTAGCGATTCACCCCATACGCAACAATTCGAAACTCCAATCAACAATTATTATTTTTTGGCACCGAGGTGCAAGCAATGGGTCGTGGCGTGGAAGCCGTGGAATCTCTCGGGGTGTGAACGCTGAGATGTACCTCGCCGGTGACGCCGGCCGTGGCCAGGCATCGAACTCGGGTTTTGCCGGGTTGGCAGCACAGTGCGCTAACCACGGCAATCGCGATTACCGCTGCAAAGAATATCCTGAAACCCAGGCTCTATTGGACACAACGTGGGCAGCGGTGTTAATGACCAAGGCGCCTCGTCTTTGGTGAGCTCACGCAATACAAAAGGCAAAGTTCCCCCACTATGTAGCCTTCCACAGGCTGCTGGGGCAAGTTGCTTGTCGGAGAGTGACAAAGGTTACACACGGCACCAGCTACTCATTCATGGCCGAGTTGACCTGGCGGGAGGGCCCAGGACCGCTTCAGGTAATCATCGCCGGTGTTTTGGTGGCAGTGAGCGGGAATCGCTGGATTCGTAGTGCAGTGTACTAACCACTGCGCCACCACTCCCCATACCAGGCTATGCAAATATCCTTAACAGGCTGTTGGGGCAAGTGCTGTTCGCGAGTAGCAGCGCCTATGAAAGCCGGCACTGTGGCACACAGGGAGATGAGTGGCCAGCACCGTCTACAGGCAAATGCAAAGATCCCCCGAGTAGCCTTTACAGACTGTTGGGGCAAGCGCTGTTAGGGATTAGCACCTATGAAGGCCGGCATGGTGCACGAGGGGGTGGGTGGCCGGCACCACGTCCGGCTGCCTTCGTCTCCCAAAGTGGCGATGTTTACTATGCACCGCACTGGGTCCTCATTTGAGGCCGAGTTGACCTAGAAGAGGGCCGTGAGCTGGAATCGAACTCGGGCCTCTGCCAGGTTTGTAGCGTAGCGGCGTTGAACACTACACTACCGATCCGCACACACACAGACGATGACACACATAGAGACGACGACACGCACACACAGATGACACACAGACGATGCCACACACACGGACGACACGCACACACAGATGACACACAGACGATGCCACACACACAGATGACACGCACACACAGATGACACACAGACGATGCCACACACACACGGATGACACGCACACACAGATGACACACAGACGATGCCACACACACAGATGACACGCACACACAGATGACACACAGACGATGCCACACACACACGGATGACACGCACACACAGATGACACACAGACGATGCCACACACACAGATGACACGCACACACAGATGACACACAGACGATGCCACACACACACGGACGACACGCACACACAGATGACACACAGACGATGCCACACACATGGACGACACGCACACACAGATGACACACAGACGATGCCACACACACGGACGACACGCAGACGTCACACAGACGACACGCAGACGATGCCACGAACACAAACGGCACGCACAAACGACATGTGCACATACAGACGACACGCAGACGATGCCGCGCACACAGACGATGACACGCCGGCAGAGGGGCCGTTGTTGTTGTTGATATGAAACTCCTGGGGGGGCGGGGGCGGAGTGGGCGTCACATTAAATGCCGCAATTCATGAAAATCCCCGTGAGGGTGGGTGGCGGTGGGGCCGTGGGGTCGTGCGTGTGCGCTGGAGTGCCGACGCCACTGCCCCCTTCTCTCACTCGGGGTCTCCGCTTCACAAGGGCCGGCTCGTGTCTCCATGGCAGCCGTTGCTACGGCGACATCGGCTTCACTGAAATAAGAAAGGACAGTCGGGGGGGGGGAGACAGAGGGAGGGAGAGTGAGAGAACCAAATTCCTCCTCGCGCCAAGAGAATGGGGGGGGGCTCTCGGTTTTAATTCCCTCGGCAAAATAAATAAATATATAAAACTAGGAACAACAAAACCTTCACTCGGCTCTCACCGTTGCGGCGATCCAATTCTCCGTGATTGCCCAACAGGGGGACTAAACTAAAAAGTTTAAACTTTACTATTTCTATTTTCCCAGAAAAGGCCCCAACTGAATACTATAGGCTGTTTTTCAGAAGCGACCTGGCGATCAACACAACGAAATCTCAACCAAGTGGCTCATCGTCGTCACATGGAAATTTATGCCAGCCAAATACTCTAAGAGTACGTTTCTAAATGTTGAGAAAAAAAACGGAGGACCTGGAGAAAAATCCACGTGACCACGGGCAGAGAGAGAGACACGCAAACTCCAAACATACAGCAGGCGTCAGGGTCGGGATCGAACCCACGACCTCCTGTATACCAGGCGAGGTAGTTAACATCTCCTAGCCACCGTGATGATGATGAGAGAGAGAGACACGCAAACTCCAGATACACAGCAGGCGTCAGGGTCGGGATCGAACCCACGACCTCCTGCATACCGGGCAAGGGAATCGCCAAGTGGAGTGAGGTCGCGTGCTGCCGACGATGATGAGGAAACATCATTCGGACTTCTCGTGAAAGAAGCTTCTTTTCATCAACAGAATACAACCCGACTGGCGATATGATAACGCTGACGACGGACGACGACGATAGTGACGTCAAGTCGTAACGCTGCGCCACCACGCCGCACAGCGTCCGCTCCTCACTCTCTTGTCGTTGGGAGAGAGAGATCGTGTAAAAATAAAATAGAGAGAGGGAAGGGGTAAGAAGGATGAGAGCAGAGCGTGAAATCTTTCATTTAAAAATGGGGGGGGGGGGGGGGGGGGCACGTAAAGCAAAGCATTGAAAAAAAAACGAAATGATGAACGAAGCAAAGTGCCGACTACACCGAGCATCTTCTTGTTTCCTCTGATCGTAACAAAGAGAGGGAGAGAGGACGACCCAGGAGTGCCAAGAGGAGGAACCATTGATGAGCGTTGAGGCAGCGGCAACCGCGCAGTGGTGGTGGATGATGATGACGATGAGGGGGGGGAGCCTCCTTCCTGCGATTCGTCATTCCACTTCTTCTGGGCCACGAGCATTTCTCGCGGCGGTTCAACGTCGCCGTTGTAGCCATGAGCCTCCACCACCCGACGGCGGCGGCGATGGCAGAGCCAATAAAATCCCATTGCCAAATCAGGGTACCGCACGCTCGTGACAGAACGACAGTGTTGCAATTTGCTCTAACATTGTGTGATTTCGTTGCCGTTTGTTTCCTCTTCATCGTGCATTTCTTTACACACGCGAACGTACACACGCTCACATACACGCACGCAAGCACGTACACACGCTCACATACACGCACGCAAGCACGTACACACGCTCACATACACGCACGCAAGCACGTACACACGCTCACATACACGCACGCAAGCACGTACACACGCTCACATACACGCACGCAAGCACGTACACACGCTCACATACACGCACGTACACACACACGCGCGCGTGCGTGTGTGTTATTACAACGCACGCAGCGGCTCACAAGGCAGGCCATTCATCTCCACGCACAACAGAGGGGATCTCACTAATCGTTCACTACAGTGGATAATCACCTACCAACGGGACACACACACTCGTTACGCAACACTGTGAGCGCATCATGAGTTTTGAGTTGATCCGATTTGTTGCACAGATGATGGTCCCGTTTAGTTGGCCACCCAACTATTTTACACAGACTCGTAGCCACACATTGAGATTCGTAGACACACAGTGGGACGTGGAAACAGAGAGACACAGGGACAGGGAAGCACACGCGTGGAAGCAGAGAGACGGGGAGTACGGGAGAAAGACCCATGGGCCAGGAATTTAATTCGCGCAGCCTGCCTTGAAGCACGGTCCATGTTTTCTAACTTTCAACACCACCACTTACCACAATCAGAATATATACACCCTGCAAGACAAAGATCCCCCATATAGCCTTTAACAGGCTGTTGGGGCAAGGGCTGTTAAGCGTTGCTGAATCCAGGTGCGTGTCACGGCGGCTTTGATTCCCCACTGAAGTTAAAATTCCCTTCTCTAAGCACGTCGTTTAAAGCCGCTATTTTTTATTTTGTGTTCGTCAATTGTTAATCTTCAAAAGGCGCTCTTCCATTACTCCATGCACTCGCTCGCCTCTTTCATTCCCCACTATCACCTGATATGCTTTCCCCAATAATAAAAAATGCGCACACATTTCTAGTTGCCAATGTTCTGTTTTGCCTGCTGTGTCCCGTCGACACTTGCTTAATTTGGTTTCGTGAGCTTGTCCGAGACTTTGCTCACGTTCGAAGGCCGGCCCAGCACACGAAAGGGTCAGTGGCCAGCACCACGCCCGCACGGCAGCCTTTGTCTCTCAAGTAGCGATGTTAACACACCGCATCAGGAACTAATTAAAGGCTGAGTCAACCTAGGGTCGGTTCAAATAAACGTCACGGAGCAGGAATCGAATTCGGGTCGCCGGGTTTCATAGCGCGGCGCGCTAACCGCTGCGCCACCGCTCCCCACACTCGCACAAAGGCAAACTCCCTCACGGCTGTGAAACTCACCGATGCGTTTTCAGATTGTACCGTGTTGTTGCTGTTCGGCACGACGTCCGATGTTTCGCCCCACGTCCTGGGAGCTTCTCCAGGAAATGGGACAGCTAAATAGATTAACACAACCGCCAAGAGCTACGCAACTTGATGCCTTTACAACTGCTCAGTGGAGGCCAGAGCAGACGAAATGTGTATTCAAAACGAGGTGAGAGATGGGTGGAGGGGGTGGTGGTGGCGGCGATGGGGGGAGGAGGTGGATGGAGGGACGTGGATGGGGGGGTGTTGATGGTGGTGATGGGGGAGGTGGCGGTGGTGATGGTAATGGGGGAGGTGGTGGTGGTGATGGGGGGAGGTGGTGGTGGTTGCGATGGAGGGAGGTGGTGGCGATGGGGGGAGGTGATGATAGCAGTGGTGGTGATGATGGTGATGTTGGTGATGAAAGTGGTTGGTGTTGTTCTGGTGGTGGTTACTATGGTCATGGTGAGGCTGGTGTTGGTGAACATGGTATTGGTGATGATGGTGGTGCAGAAGGTGGTAGTGTTGGTGGTCATGATGGTATAGCGGCCGACGATGATAATCTCTACTTGTAACGTGCACCGTGTTCTCCGTTCTCTAAGAAACTAAAGGGCTCGGAGGCGCCAAGTGGGGACACGGCCTGGCCGTGGCGGCGCTGGAGGTGTATTTTAAACGCAGTAGCAGATGTCAACGGACGCCGGCCCCCAAGGGGTGAAGAGGGGGGGATCCTTTATCATGTAAATCTCAGCACGTCAACAACGAGACCATTTGCATTCGAATGGCAAAACGGAACCGGCGCTCCTGGCCTGGCGCAAGCACAGCGGGGCCACAGATGCTGCGGCGGCAACTACATCGCCTCTTCCCTAATTTAAACACACGGCAGGAGGGGGGACGGTGGGCTGGAGGAAAGGGAGGGGAAGTCGTAAAAATAATTGTGCTATTGTCTCAGCAATGAATGTCAAGTATGGAAGTGAGTTAATACCTCGGCGGGCTTTGCGTGTCTGTGAGTATTGTGTTTGTTGTTCGAACGTTCTGACCCCGTGCCTCCTCCAGTCTAAATAAAGAGATTCTGAAAGCAAAAATATTCTGAGTACAGTAAATGAACAAATTAGTTGGTGCTGCTGCTGCTGCGATGGCAGCGGCGCACCAACACAGCCAACAACAACAATAACAACTCAACACGTCCCGTGTCAATAACAACACAACACAGTGTGTGGCATAGCACGGGGCCCATCACCCTGTGAGGCCACACACGCACACGCGGCGTTGAATCGCTCACCTGTAACGCGTAAGCAGGTTAACACCATGCAACCACGGCTTGCCAGGGCCTTCTTCCATGGGCCTTCTTTATACAGGGTGCTTCCAAAAATATCTAACACTTGTTTGGGACTATCGTTTTTAATGGGGAAAAAGAACGGATAATTAATACTACACTGCAACATGATAACAAATGTAATATTAATAGCTTCAAAAACTCAAAGAGTCTCCACTTGTTCGCCATCATTGTCAACACGCGCCTGGAATCTTCTCGAGGTGGTCTCCAGAGCACGGAGGCAGCACATTTCTTGTGGCGTTGTTGTTGCAAATTCTCAGATGTGTTCACATTCTTTTTAAGCAGCCTGTATATTCAATAACTCCCTCCCCACGGCCCAGGGCTGGGATTCAGGTTATTGTCGGCCCTAGGCACTTCTGTTTCGAAGGCACTTCCAGTGATAACTTTCTACAATTACTACAGCCCAGCTGAAGCTGAGTAAAATACCAACAAACAACCGTCTACTTTGCCATCCCTTGCACTGCCACTCTCTGTTGAAAAATAAATCTCTCGAAATGTTTATCTCTGGTGGTTAATTGATCTCTCGCCTTACGACAAATAAACGATTGATACGACTCTGCCTCTTTGTATAACACCCTTCGCTATATAGTTATTCAAGAAGGTGTCTTGGTCACATTGCCTACTGTGACCTCTTGGATCGTCACGGCCCCTGCCACGCCATGCCGCGGGGTGTCCGTGGCGCGTCACTCAAACTGAAATTGTCGTCATTTTTGGAGGCTGAAAGAATTCGAATGCGAGCAAAAAAGAGACACAAATGCAGTCGATCGTCGACTATACGGGGGGGGGGGGATAGGGGGGGGCATCGGATTTTTTAAAACGCCGGATAATCGCTAAATCATAACTTGAAATAGCTATATTTTTTGCACATTCTTATTTATGGAATTGGCATAAATGAATATGCTACTGTTAAAAGTTTATCTTCTTTACTGTACCGTAGTTGCCACTCCAATCTCGAAGACTCTGCATCATGTACCTACTACTAGTACGACTACTAGAACTACTACATTGTAGTACTACTACATAGTAGGTACATAGTAGTAGTACTGCACACTAGTACTACTACCTATACTACGTAGTATTACTAGCAGTAGTACGTGGCAGTACTACTAGTACTACTTAGTAATACTACTACTAGTACTACTTAGAAGTACTGCACACTAGTACTACTACCCGTACTACGTAGTATTACTAGCAGTAGTACTCGTAGTACGAGCAGTAGTACGTAGCAGTACGACTACTAGTACTACTTAGTAATACTACTACTAGTACTACTTAGAAGTACTGCACACTAGTACTACTACCCGTACTACGTAGTATAGTACTAGCAGTAGTACGTAGCAGTACGACTACTAGTACTACTAGTATCATGGTTGTATTCTCGTACTACAACTAGTAGTAGTACTACTGCGCTTTGTGTCAACACAACCACGATGTGCATTTGACGATCGCCAGGACTGGTTACAGCCTTTGGAGCGGTTTTGACAATTTCTCCGGATTGTCCCGGGACCGTCGAATAATCGATGATGATCAACTGTTCCACCTTCGCTGAAATATTTGTGTGTGTGCGGTTATTGATTGAGTGGCCGGGCCGAGGCTATTACCAACCTCACCCACACCTGAAAGCCAGGTTCAAGCGCATTGCTCGCCGGTGACGCTGCTACTGCTGCTGCATTGCCAATGGAACACAAAGCCCAGACAGATAAATTGTAAAGGTGAGTGATGAGTGCGCTATGCGGAAGGGAAACATTGCAACGAAACGTCGCCTTTTGTGTTATTTTTTTTTCCTTTTAAGGTCAATACCAATACAGTCGCCATTCGCCACTAAGTGACGGTGACATCCCCACGGCACCCGTGCCAGGCCAGGTGCACTTTGAGGCCACGTAAAGTGTCAAAGGCTCGCTGACAGTAGGTCTCGGGATAGACCCAGGTGCCATGCTAGCTGTACCCCCTACTCTACCACGGTATTGAGTTCATGTTTACGTTTGTTTACACTCGATGACGATGATGGTGAATCCCGTTTGGCCAGTTGCACGGGAATTGTTTCCAAGGTATGGGGGAAGTGGGGGGGGATTCCCGTGGTGCGTGAGCCGAGCTACACGTTGCGCGTGAACTAAGATGACTTGTTAAACACGTCGGCTTATATAATTACAATACCCCCACCTCCACCTCGGATCTCGAAACCTGATGGGGTTCAATGACGACGTCGTCCTGCACTATTTAAGACTGGAAGCAGGTGGATGGCTTCACTATTCTGGCAAATCGCCCGAAGATGCTGGATGTAATAACCAGCGAAACGTCGTACTACTCAAATTATACATGTTGTGGATTCACTCTTCAAACACACCGCTGGGCTGAAGCGGTAACTAATTGGCGTTTTGTCAACGTGACACATTTTTTTACTGATCGGCCGTGTCGGGTGGTGGAAGGTTGCGACACATTTATACTTACGCGATCAAACCCAAAAGCCTTTATTACGAATAAGAGGACTTGGTTTGAACCATAGCTCGCCTGTGAATGTGCGCGTGAGCGCGCGCGTTCCGGTAACGGGCCGCCTTTGAGACCGCCGAGGTTCGAGTCCAGACCGCGCTGGACATCGGGGGCGCGGGCAGCGGGGGGGGGCGTCCGTTACGTCCCTGCAGTCGTCGGGGCTATAAATAGCCGGGCATTTAGACGGCAACACGAGGAGGCGATCTGCTATCAGGAGCCAGGGCAACCGTACCTGGATAGCAACATGACACCCAGGCCCGCCCTGGTTTAAGAGACCGCTATTCATTAACAGTGTCCCCCATTATCCCATTACGTCCTAACACCCCCCCCCCCCCCCTTGTATCAATTCGCTGCTGGATAGAGGCCTCCCACGCCATCGTTTCAACAGCGGGAATTGAACCAAATCGACCGTTGCAACCCCACTTGTGGCCTCCATCTCTCAAGATATCTCTATGGGGGGGGGAAGGGGGGGGGGATTTGGAGCATACTTCACCACGACGGTCAGCGCGGGTTGGTGGTAAAATAGTGGGGGGTGCATAGAAGCGGTGGTTCAGGTGTCACCCCGGCCACTCGCGTTCGGAAACGAATCGAATGCAGGTCACTGAATTCATGGGGGGGGGGGGGGGGTCGGGGCAGCACGGGGCCACGGGGGCAGGCGACCCCCGGCCTGACAGCGGCGTGAAGTGAGCAAGTCGCTAGAGGTGGTGGGGGCTCGCGCCTTTAACCCCCCCCCCCCCCACATCTCATCTGACTCTATAAGACGGGCAACCCCCGGGCGCTAGCCGCCGATCCGGAGGTTCACAATCGCGAGATTGCCTCTCAAAGGAAAACCGCGAGGGAGAGAGACGCGCACAGAAACCGTGCCCCCCAGACAGAGCGGCAGCCGGTTACTGTCGCCACCCTCACCATCACCCCCCCACCACCACCACCCCCCTACCCTCACCATCACACCACTACCCCCCTTACCCTCACCATCACCCCCCCCACCACCACCCCCCCACCCTCACTACCCCCCCCCCTACCCTCACCACCACCCCCTACCCCCCCTACCCCCCCTACCCTCACCATCACCCCCCACCACCACCACCCCCTACCCTCACCATCACACCACTACCCCCCCTACCCCCCTACCCTCACCATCACCCCCCCACCACCACCCCCCCTACCCTCACTACCCCCCCCTACCCTCACCACCACCCCCTACCCCCCCTACCCCCCCTATCCTCACCATCACCCCCCCACCACCACCACCCCCCTACCCTCACCAGCACACCCCTACCCCCCCTACCCTCACCATCACCCCCCCACCCTCACCAGTACACCCCCACCACCACCCCCAACCCTCACCTCCCTCTACCCTCACTACCCCCCTACCCTCACCCCCCCCCCCCCAGCACCCCCCTACCCTCCCCACCACACCCCCCCCTACCCTCACCAGCACACCCCTATCACCACCCCCTACCCTCACTACCCCCCCTACCCTCACCACCACCACCCCCCCAACCCCCCCCTACCCCCCCCAGCACCCCCCTTACCCCCCCAGCACCCCCCTATCCCCACCAGCACCCCCACCCCCCAGCACCCCCCCTACCCTCACCACCACCACCACGTCACAAAGACAAAGCTCGCCCGTGTAGCCTTACAATGTGTGGGGGGAGGGGGCGAGTTGTGTTAGCAAGCGATGGTGGTTGGCACGGAGCTCACCTGCGTCGGGCGTGGTGACGGGGACCCCTCTTTCCCAGGCCCCCTTTGTCTCCCCGGCGATGACGTTTAATAAGCACCGCGCCAGATACACACTTAGGTCCGGTTTGCCCTCGGAGAGATGTCTGGGGCAGGGATGTGAGTTGAGAAGATGTAACTCGCCACCGAATGGGGAATCTAACCCCGGGTTAAATTAAGGTGGCTCGGTTCGGAGCGCAGCGCGCTAACCGCTGTGCCACCGCTCCCCACACGTACAAAGACAAAGATCCCCCGATTACAGCCTCAATAGACTGTTGGGGCAAGTGCTGTTAGCGAGCACCTATACAGGCCGGCACTGTGGCACACAAGGGGGTGGGTGGCCAGCATCACGCCCGGCCGCCTTTGTCTCCCAAGCGGCGATGTTTACACACCACACCAGGTACTAATTTGAGGCTGAGTCAACCTAGCAGAGGCCCAGGACCGGTTCAGATCATCGCGATCACTGGTGTTGGCCATGAGCGGCAATCTAACTCGGGTTGCCAGGTTCGTAGACACACACAAACACACATAATACACGCATGCGTGCGCGCACACACAAACACGGACAACACACACACACAAACACACGCACGAATACACGAACGCACGCCGCACAGATGGCAATAAATGATGCATGGGTCGGTGCATCAATCATTCATGGCTCCCCCCTCTACCCCCACCACTAAGCGCGGGGGCTCAGTGCGAGTGGCTCGGCCGAGGAGCGAGGAGGATTTCGTTTCACTGCGCATTGTTGTAAGCCGTGCTCTCGCGTTCTCACGTGGGGGAGAGAGGTGGTGGTGGTGGTGGTGGTGGCGGCGTTGGTGGTGGAGGCGTTGGTGGTGGAGGCGTTGGTGGTGGTGGTGGAGGTGGTGGTGGTGGAGATGGTGCTGCTCGGACCTCCACCAACCCAGCCTCCGCGAGCGGCGTTTGTCCCGCGACAGTCGAACCGATGTCTGTGGAGACCAAAGTTGTCACTGCGACTCGCACGAGCTACTAACAAAGGCCACCTTCAGCACGGGTTACAAATAACAACGACATTGCGTCAGTGCTATAAAATGATGAACAAAATAAGAATCGGCGTCTGTAACCTTTCTGGCACTAAACCGGGAGTTGTGTAAAGATGTTCAAACACACAGACACACAGACACACACACACCCCGATAGCGAGACATCAAGTGTCTGCATTAGCCACACATTACTTGGGGCAAAACGGAAAACAAACATGGTCTGATAATAATAATGTGATATGCATTGTCTTTGAAACTGAATGGCCTACACCAGAGACAGCCTTCTTTCTGGGTTATCTCACCACCAGTGTCAGACCAGAGGACGCCAAAAGACGGACAGTACAAGGACAATGCAAGTGTGAGTCCACTCGTAGCTCGCGGCGAGCAGTTACATCTATGGGACATTTTTGGCCAGTGCTGTCAAAATTATGAAAAACAAAGAATAGGTTTGTTACACTTGCTGGCAATAAAACAGGCGTTGTGTTAAGATGTTTAAACACAAAATAGAAACATTTTTCAAGGCATCACGTCTCTGCATTAATCTTGTGGCAAAACACGCTCTGAAAATGTATGGGGCTGTCTTGGAAACCGATTGGCCTGTGCAACAGGGCTGCCGTCTAAGAGTCGCTTGAAGTCGCCACGAGTGCACACAACACACTAGCACGGTGGAAAAGAAGTTTAACACACAGTATAAAGACAAAGGTCCCCCGCATAGCCTTTAACATAATGTTGGGGCAAGTGCTGTTAGCGAGCACCTATGAAGGCCGGAACGGCACACGAAGGGGTGGTTGGCCAGCACCACGCCCAACTGCCTTTGTCTCCCCAGTGGCGATGTTTACACACCGCACCAGGTACTCATTTGAGGCCAAGTCAACCTAGGGGAGAGGCCAGGGACCGGTGTTGGCCGTGAGCGGGAATCGAACCCGGGTAGCCAGGTTCATAGCGCCAAGTTCGGAGTGCAGCGTGCTAACCGCTAGAACTACCGCCGCATAAGTACACACACACAAATCTTCCGAACCTCCTTCTCGTGAGCTCACTCACTCTATTGCGCGCACTTTCAGTGCTTGCTTGACGTTTGTGGGTTCCACTGCTGGGGGAGCTGAGAGGTGGTGGGGGGGGCGTGTGGGGGTCCGATGGGTATCTGCCGGAGAGGGGGAGGACTTCGGTCTGTCCCGGCGTGCGAGCTGTCGAGTTCTCACCCTATCCCAGTGGTTCTTAACCTTTACTGCAGCCTTGCACCCCCTTTTTGAAACAAAGTAAGTTGTACTTATGTGGCCCCATGCTTAACTTGTGTTTTGATGCTTTACCTTCTAAAATAATTCTGGCGATGTCTCGCACCCCCAGAAAGGGCATCACGCACCCCCAGGGAGTGCAGCGTGCACCCCAGTTTAAGAAGAACCACTGCCCCATCCTATCATGGACATTTACCGTGGCAGAGCCCTTGCTGCTGAGAGCCTTTGGCAGGGCACACCGGTTGCTGAGCACTGCCAGTGCTCCTCCACCCGCTCTGCGTGTGAGAGTGATGCGTCGTCTTTGGTTCTTTCGGTAAAGTCACGTAGATAGAAAATACAAAATAAAGTGAAAAATAATAATAATAGCTTAATAACCACTGCTACAGTCTACATTATAGATTGCCAGTACACTCACTCCGATTTAGAACCAGGCTACAGTTTACATTAGTGGGGTTTTTTTGTTTTTTATTATTTTTTCTTTTATTTTTTATCTTCCTGACTTTACCAAAAGAACCAAAGAATATGAATTCCTGCAGTCACGAAAGATTTAAGTAAAAATTTGAGAGTGATGCTTGTCGCATGGCAGTCAACCCCGACATAAAAACACGAAATGCTCAAACCTACAACTGAACCGATAAAACATTTTTTTCCAAATGCGTCACTCAAATTTCCAACGTGCCTGTAATCACCTCTCTCCCCACCTCCATCATCGTCCACGTGTCCACGATCTCGCTACACCCTCTGGCCTGTCCATATCGCTTCTCACCTCACATCGCCCTCGTCACTGCCTCTTGTCAACATCTATTTTGCCGTCTCATTCGGACTTTATAGGATTGAAAGGAAGGGGCTTCAATGAATATTCCCACCCAGGGCTCCCAGTGGGACTGCACCAGCGCCAGACATTGGAACAGGAGAGGGTTGTGTACTCAACTAAGACCACTCATCACTCCAAGGGAGATAAAATCAGTACCACTTTGTGGGAAGTCGGCAGTGTCTGTCTTACAAGATGGACTTGCCCGCCCGATCCACGACAGTAAATGTGGAATTTCCAACACCGGGCTCCTTGCCAAGCATCGCATTCTGCCGACGAGCCCACACTCGCTCTCCCGCGCTCGCGCCTTGGCGCTGTGGGTGGTAACGCGATGCCCCAGGAGGGTTGGTGGATTACTCTCGAGTGGCTTTGTAAACTTGTCCGTCTTGTGGGAAGGGCCATTGCCCGAAACGTTGTCTATTTGTTTTTTAATGCCACATAGGTTATTAACACAGAAGTTTTCAGTGTACGGTTCAGTGTGTAAAGCTACAGGTCTCTGGGTGAGTTTATGGGTCTCTGTGTGAGTCTATGGGTCTCTGTGTGAGTCTATGAGTCTCTGTGTGAGTCTATGGGTCTCTGTGTGAGTCTATGGGTCTCTATGCGAGTCTATGGGTCTCTGTGTGAGTCTATGGGTCTCTATGCGAGTCTATGGGTCTCTGTGCGAGTCTATGGGTCTCTGTGCGAGTCTATGGGTCTCTGTGCGAATATATGGGTCTCTCTGCGAGTCTATGGGTCTATGTGCGAGTCTATGGGTCTCTGTGCGAGTCTATGGGTCTCTGTGCGAGTCTATGGGTCTCTGTGCGAGTCTATGGGTCTCTGTGCGAGTCTATGGGTCTCTATGCGAGTCTATGGGTCTCTATGCGAGTCTATGGGTCTCTATGCGAGTCTATGGGTCTCTGTGCGAGTCTATGGGTCTCTATGCGAGTCTATGGGTCTCTGTGCGAGTCTATGGGTCTCTGTGCGAATATATGGGTCTCTCTGCGAGTCTATGGGTCTATGTGCGAGTCTATGGGTCTCTGTGCGAGTCTATGGGTCTCTGTGCGAGTCTATGGGTCTCTGTGCGAGTCTATGGGTCTCTGTGCGAGTCTATGGGTCTCTGTGCGAGTCTATGGGTCTCTATGCGAGTCTATGGGTCTCTGTGTGAGTCTATGGGTCTCTGTGTGAGTCTCGTGTGGCTAACTTAGGGTGTGGAGACAACGGCTGTCACCTTACACTGAGGTGGTTGGTTGAGCCAGATAGGAATAGCGGAGCAGCGGTGTCTCGCTGTGGTGATGATGATGACACCTCTTCCCCTCCTCTGTGAACCGGGCAACCAAGTTTGCGTTACAACAAATTTTGTGTCACAGATGAGTTTGTGTTACAACTGAGTTTGTGTCACACTGAGTTTGTGTCACAGCTGAGTTTGTGTCACACTGAGTTTGTGTCACAGCTGAGTTTGTGTCACAACTGAGTTTGTGTCACACTGAGTTTGTGTCACAGCTGAGTTTGTGTCACACTGAGTTTGTGTCACACTGAGTTTGTGTCACAGCTGAGTTTGTGTCACAGCTGAGTTTGTGTCACAGCTGAGTCTGTGTTACAACCGAGCCATCTGCGTTACAACCGAGCGTGCATCACAATGGCCCACGGTTTTCTTCTGGGTGGTGACCACAGTCTGCAGCACACAATCAGAATATTTATTGCTACGAGAGCAATCCGATCAGCTATGAAGATCTTTTTCACCGACTCCCAGCAGGGAGCAGGTAAGAACGTTACAACAACATTACGACAACACGGTAGTAATGAGAAGTACAGGGCAGGCAACACAATCACCCAACACTAAACCATCCCCCCGTCCTTCCAGGCAAAGCCCACCGAGATATTAACTAACTTTTCAGAAGCAACCCGGCCAACAGAAATGATAGCTCAACAAAGTGGCTTCTCGTGTGGAAATTTATAGCATCATCATCATCATCATCAAGTGTCCGCATCAGCTGCCATACATCGAAGTGGCTCTTGTGCTTAACGAGGCCAAATTCAAGTGTCCCCCTCTCTCTCTCTCTAGCAGACGGCTGCAAAGCCGTGCCGATCAATCGGCGCGGCCACGCATAAAGCAGCCACGCAAACCGTGCCGGCGGGCAGACGCGGCTTGCTTGACGCACAATTGTAAAGTGTACAAACCGTGAGGTTCGGTGCGCGGCGTTTTACGCTCCTCGCCCAGAAGAGAACTCGTGGAGCATTGCGACGTGGACTCGGTGCCCGGGAGGGGAGGGAGGAGAGGGGAGCGGAGGGGAGCGGGGAGGGGAGGGGAGGGAGGAAGGGAGGGAGGGAGGGAGGGGAGCGGGGAGGGGAGGGGTGGGAGGGAGGGGAGGGATGACACAGAGTTCGCAGCCACCTGGAGCTCTGTTGTCCTCTACACATGAAGGTGTCCTCAGCCAATTAAGAACCCTGGTTCTGATCTTCCACGAAGCTACTCATGGTCCACCCTAAACCCGCATCCACCGCACAAACCGTGGCAGTAGATGCGGATACCCGATGCATTAGTGTGGCGACTGTGGTCATCCAGAACAGACACCGCAGTGCAACGTATAACGACGCAACGCCCCGACCCACAAATACGAAGGAGACATCATTGAGACATACTCTGCCGCTGCCGCTCCTGGTGCCGTGGTTGTCTGGCTCAACCACCTGGATGTGAAATTGGAGGTGTTGCTCTGCATCTACATCGGCAGCCACACGGTAAGAGGAAGCCAATAACTTAATGTTGACATTTAGGAGGAAACCGGAGCAAGCGGAGAAGAATAACGCGAGCTGCCAATGGGTTGATGAAGCCTGGATCCAGAGGTAGACTGATAATGGCTGATAGTTGTGACAGTAGGAGGCAGCCAGCCGACTCAGAGAGGTCAGTGCTGAGCAGGCACCACTCAGAGCCCGAGTTTGAATCCAGGCGGGCGCCTGCGAGTAAACTGGGTTCTAACTTTTAAAGTTGATGGTCACCAATGATTCGCATAGAGACTCAAAGACTCACACAGAGACCCATAGACTCACAAATAAACCAATAGACTCACACAGAGACAAATAGACTCACACAGAGACCCATAGACTCACAGACACAAATTCACACAGAGACCCAGACTCACAGAGACAAATACTAACACAAAGACCTTTAGGCTCACAAAGAGACACAGACTCACAGAGACAGACTCAAACAGAGACACATAGACTCACAGAGACCCATAGACTCACATAGACCCATAGACTCACACAGAGACCCATAGACTCACACAGAGACCCATAGACTCACACAGAGACCCATAGACTCACCACACAGAGACCCATAGGCTCACACAGAGACGCAAAGACTCACTCAGACACACACAGAATCACACAGAGACCCATAGGATCACACAGAGACCCACAGACTCACACAGAGACCCATAGACTCACACAGAGACCCATAGACTCACAGATGCACACAGAGACCCATAGACTCACACAGAGACCCATAGACTCACAGATGCACACAGAGACCCATAGACTCACACAAACACAAATTCACACAGAGACCAATAGACTCGCACAAAGACCTGTAGGTTCACAAAGAGACACATAGACTCAGAGACACACAGACTCACACAGAGACACAGACTAATACAGACCCGTAGGCTCACAGAGACCCATAGACTCACACAGAGTCCCATAGACTCACACAGACTGAGCTGTGATTAAACCGGGTTCCCGAGTGTAGCGAGTCGGTCTCAGACCAGTTACTCCAAATTGAGTTTTACACTTAAATTTGGAACAAACATTCAAGCTTTGACAATTAAAACAGAGGCTTGACTGTTAAACGACAAACATTACTCATCAAGCCCCAGGGCTTGATGCCATACCAGGGACCTGAACAGTTGCTCGCCGACTTGCCGACACAGTAATTACGATCCACCCCTGCCGCCCACCCTCAGAGTCCACTTTCCTTGGCGTAACTGAAGTGGCCGAACGTTAAGTGTTGCCAAAGGGTTGGGTCCACCGACGGCTCGAGTTCAGCGTACGTTCCCATCTTCCCGTCGGACGTAACAAGTATTTGTCGAAGGAAAGGTGACTCCATTCAACTCTGTTTGCCAGCTGTTCTGTGGTGCAACTCGCACATAATGGACAGCTGGTCTTTACATCTCATCCCACCACACCCACCCCCAACAATTATTACGCAAGAATAGGAGGACTGAGGGTCAGAATGAGAGTCTACGTCGAGGCTTGGTCGGGGTGATTGCGTTTTAGAATCAAGAGTCTTAAAAAAAAGGATTCTATCCCAATTTCACTCTTGTAAGCATCACGAAGAGTCCATTCGGATCTCTCAGAGCAGGGCGACCCTCCTCTGTGTGTTAGAACAGCCCCACGGAGGAGCAGATACCACAGAGCTACCTGCAAGACACAATCAAGTGACCCTGTCAGACTGAGACTGATAATCCAGCAGACTGGGTTTCATCATCGGAGTCTTGAGACCAGATTTCAGGATCGAAGTGCTGGAGACCAGGTGTCCGGATCAATCTCTTCCGATGTTTTTATGTTGAACTTCTGTCGGCACCACGGTATGTAGCCACCCGCAGCTAATCCGAGTTGTGGGGGAAGGACAACGAACACAAAATGGATACTCCAGCTAAAACCCTTCTCAGCTGGCACAAAACTCCCCATTAAATACTTCTCCTGTCGCTCACACGCAGCGCGCGTCATTGTTGGCTGCTGTACGGTAAACACACAGAGTTACTGTTGTGAAATTATTCAAAGCCGGTAGTGGATGCCCGATTTTTCAATCGCAGCATGTTTGCGCATTTGACTTATCGCACACACAGCCTTACTAACGGGCTGCGTGCAAAGGTTACATTTTACTCTGTGGAAACAGCGATCATATTGGACGACCTATACCCACTGGAACATCACGGGAGGAAATCACGGCTAACTCTGATCCGTCACTACGCTATGCTAGCCGTCCATCAGTCCACTCACTGCTCAAGGTCTCCCAAAAACGACACTTAACTACTCTAACAACTATGTTTATTTGGCCAGGTATAGCGCTGAGCCTATTTCACTCTTTGTCAGGGGGGCTCTTCTGCGTAGATTCTTATTTTACCGATACGGTCCCCATTTCTCCATAGGACCAAAAATATATAATTAGGTCTCCGTGGACTCCAAGCCATTTGGAAAGGTCACACTAATCTATCATGACGGCTATTATGATAATTATCTCATGCCGTTTAAACGAGGATTTTTATTGCCACTACTCTAATAATATCCAGTAAAATGAGTGTTCAACTGCCCAAAGGTTAATTTTAACTTATGGAATTATGGTCAACGAAATAATAACAGTCCTGACTTTGCCCATAAGAGCCTTGCACTTACACCAAGCTTTCCCTGAGTTTATTTTCACCGTAACCATTAGCCACGGTCAATCCACTACTGGATGAAGATCTCTCCCAAGCCACTGCCATCTGTCACGTTCCTGCGATGTACTAATCCACCCGGAGCCTGCACAACGGGCTGATTTCACTGCTCCATCTCCTCCTCAGGGGCCGCCCTCTTAGACGCGCACTATTCCTCTGCCGCCACTGCATTATCAAGCTCGATTATTGCAACTCGCCACTCTACGGGATGTCTGGCAAACACATCGTCGAGCTGCAGCGTGGTGGGTACAGCGAGATCCAAGCGTGTCTCTCCGCTGCTCGCCGAGCTGCATTGGCTTCCGATTGTTGAACGAATACGTTGCAAGGTCGCGCTCACTACACACACACAAAGTGCTTGCCACAAATGAACCACCATACAGTACAGGCAGTACACGCACGGATTGAAAAAACCAAGACCTACCTTAGAAAGCACGGTGTTGGGTCACCATTGAAAGAGTTGCCAAGCTCAATGGACATTGCCTGAGATAAACTGACTGCAGTGAAACGTCAGTTGCTTTTCATTGTTACATCTTTAGTGATCCAAACATCGTCCCTGCTGGCTTTGATATTTCTCCTCGAAGACACCGGTAGTAGAACCATCAACCACATCAGAACATCACCAGGCCGATGTGCACATCCCCTTGCCCTCGGGATTAGCGCGGTTGGCTACGTACGGTGTGAAAGAAGTTCAACATACTTACGTACATACATAAATGGAAAATTATAGACGCAAGTCACAAGTAGTGCGATTGTGGCCTTGCCACAAAATCAATGGACCATACAGCAAACCCAGAGACACAAAGATACATAGAGCTTCACAGAGATACATGAATAACACAAGCCAGTGGTGTGATTGTGGCCTTGCCAACCAATCTATTGACCATACAGAACCCCACTGTAGTCTGTTCCTTCAATGGGACAGCAACACTACACCAATGCTCTTCTGAAGCCCCTCTCGTCGTGGCAAGGAGACCGCAAATATTGGCATTTTACTGCCATAAAATAAGACGAAAATTGCCGTAGCAGGCGATACGCACACTGATCCAAAAAACGACTTTGTTTAGATATCCTTGGGTAGCCATTGCAGAACAGCTGCTTAGCTCAATGGGCCTTGACGGACAAAAACCCGGCTGAACTGAACCGTCCATAACTTTTCCTCGTGAAGTTCCTCCTCACAAGGAAAATAACGGAACTGCCCATAACTTTTCCTTGTGAAATTCCTCTTCACAAAGGGAGCCCTCCCACCTGGCTCTCTCCAATCCACCTCTTTATTCCATCAATTCGATCCCGGGGTCCGCGGTCGACATCCGCCCTGTATCCACGCACTTTGCTGTGGGCTCCCATCGACTGCAAGGAGTCTCCCTTGCACGGAAGCCTCCGCTCCGCTTAGGGACGGCCCCTGTTGTACGAGACCTCTGCGGAAACTCGCGTTCTCTCCCGGATCCGACAGCCCGAAAAACGCGGCACACATTCGAGCGGTGGGCGCACGGCGATTTCACCGGCGGGGCTGCAGCCGTCAACCCAGCTGCCCAAGGTCAATTCCAGGCCAAGGTCCTGGATTGTTACTCCCCCACCCACCCACCATTCACACGACGTGCTTACAGGACGGTGATTCAATGCAGCCTGGGGAGGCCCTCATCCAGCAGTGGATTGAGAAAGGGGCCATGCCTATACACTACGATTGTTAACTTTAAAAAGTAAAGGAACTTAAACATTATCCAGAAGAGGTCTTTTGGGCTAGATCCCATAAACATAAATGTGTCGTTATACTAAAAAACAAAGATTCCCTGTATAGCCCTAACAGACTGTAGGGGCAAGTGCTGTTGGCGAGCACCTATGAAGGCCCGAACGGTACACGAGGGGTGGGTGGCCAGCACCACGCCCGACCGCCTTCGTCTCCCCAGTGGCGATGTTTACACACCGCACCAGGTACTCATTTGCGGCTGAGTCGACCTAGGGGAGGCCCGGGACCGGTTCAGATAATCGTCACTGGTGTTGGCCGTGAGCGGGAATCGAACTCGTGCCGCCGGTTTCATAGCGTAGCGTAGCGCTAACTGCTACACTATCGCTCCCCAAAACTCACCACCACCAGACACAGGCGATTATTAGTAAGGTTTGACACGTAAACAAAACGTGGCAATTGGCTACCAGTTCAGCACACTGCTGTGTTAGAGAGTAAACTCACAACATTTACAATTTTACACTCCAACACACAACCGGTTAATGCTGAGCAAGCAACGAATTGGCCACGTTTTGTTTACGTGTCCAACCTTACCAATTGGCTGTGTTGGATGGTGGCGGGTTTAACCCAACATAAACTCGTTAAAGAAAGTTTTTTAAAAGCAACGGTTTTATTAACTTCTTCGTTTAACTCACGGTCGAGAAGTCCGTCAATGGCGCCTGAGGCACGCGGCGCCTGCTTCTTGTGCAAGCCGATTCCACAGTTTAGGGACCGTGGCGTTTTTGACCTACACACAAATATATATGAATAATCAGGCGTCCATAAAAAATGTAAATTGCTTTAAAGTAGCGAATTAATTGATTCATTGATGTCGATTTTGATACAGGCATGCATTGTCACCGGATCTGAGTATGTGTGCAACATGTGGAATTGCTTGGACAACGGGAAGTGGACGAAATTTTGATTACAAGATTTGACCCAGACAAACAGAGGAATCAAGTTAAGTAAAACCGTTGAAAAAAAACTCGATTAAAAATATTGGTCGTGAAAAGCCTGCTACATGTTAAACTAACTTAAATATAACTTTTGCAAATACAATCTAAAAAAACAAGGTTATGTAAAGTAAGTATATTCAATATTGGTGTAATAATGAATTGTGGGCCCTTGCCAATCCACTGCTGGATGAAGGCCTTCCCATGCCCTGTTGGTAAACGGGGTCGTTTGACCATACTTCCCCACGCAGGTCAGTGGCGGTACGTTGTTATCGTAATTTTTTGTGACGCAAAATGCCTCCGAGCCCCGTAGTGGAAATTCTTCGTTTGTCTATTCCCAAGGCAAAACGTGAAATGCACCGACACCGTAGATCTAAAAGACGCAAAAACGAAGTAAACTTTATCGCGTGCACGTAACATGCATGTAACATGTGCCGAGAGGTTGCCAGTGATGATAATGGTCGGTATCATGCTGGACTTGGAATCCAGAGGTTACAAGTTTAGAGGCATGGGATAAGTTAATGAAATCATCCCCCTTTTACCACCACCTCTATTGTAAATGGGTTCTATGATCGGCAGGTCTCGGTGTGGTGGTGATGATGGTGGTGGTGGGGTAATTGGATGGAGGCAGTCGCCCTCCAACAACAACGGAGGGCAGAGGAGCAACGCTCACAACAACGAGCGGAGCGCCGGGCGGCTAAAACGCAGCAGGTTGGAACAGTAGGGGGTACAGCTGGTGTGCATCTACCGGTCATCTCAGTCAGCCAACCCATGGCACCTGCTGGGTCTGTCCCGTGACCTCCTGCTGCACCTAGCCTGGTACAGCAGTCAACCCATGGCACCTGCTGTGTCTGTCCCGTGACCTCCTGCTGCACCTAGCCTGGTACAGCCGTCAACCCATGGCACCTGCTGGGTCTGTCCCGTGACCTCCTGCAGCACCTAGCCTGGTACAGCAGTCAACCCATGGCACCTGCTGGGTCTGTCCCGTGACCTCCTCCTGCACCTAGCCTGGTACAGCAGTCAACCCATGGCACCTGCTGGGTCTGTCCCGTGACCTCCTGCTGCACCTAGCCTGGCACAGCAGTCAACCCATGGCACCTGCTGGGTCTGTCCCGTGACCTCCTGCTGCACCTAGCCTGGCACAGCAGTCAACCTATGGAACCTGCTGGGTCTGTCCCGTGACCTGCACCTAGCCTGGCACAGCAGTCAACCTATGGAACCTGCTGGGTCTGTCCCGTGACCTGCACCTAGCCTGGCACAGCAGTCAACCTATGGAACCTGCTGGGTCTGTCCCGTGACCTGCACCTAGCCTGGCACAGGCGCCGGGTGGTGGTGGGGTTCAAGGTATGGGGGCAAACTCCCGTGCAATGGCATCAAGTGGGCGTGGAAGAGTAGACCAAATACACGCATCACTGAGTGCGCGCCGACACTGTTTTGCACAATTATTTGGCGACGTAAACCGAAACTCGACAACAAACTCCGACGTCGCCTTGAAAAATAAATATTCTCGTCAAGAAAAAAATATTTAAACTAAAATTATCGCAGAAATTATTCCCCTCAAATTGCCAAGCGTCCCGTTACACAAACGATGTAAAATAAATGTATCTGAGCCGTAAACAACGAATTAAGGTATCCCACCGACGAGATACGCAATTTGTTAAAGCGTAAACAAATACACGAACAATTACGGTTTTAAAAAAGTAGAAAATGTTTGGTTATTTATAAAATGAAGTTTTAAGTTGTGGCGGAGGATTTCTCCACAACTCCCGTGAAACGTCGTGGATTGTTTAACTCTCTAACACTCAACAACCGCTTAGTGTTTAACTAAGTCACTTAACTAAGTTAACTTAACTAAGCAACTTAACTAAGTTACGAACTTTACTAAATTGGCTGTGTCGGGTGGCGGCGGTTTTACCGACACATTTATATTAACCCAGACACACACAAATAGATTATCTCTATTATGGATTATATTGCTCCGTGTTAAACTACACAAAGTTTATGCTGCTGCTGCTGCTGCGTGTTAAACGACTACTATGACGATAAACACGAAGTCTGTGAGGGTGAACTCACCCGGCGTGAGGAGCGAGCGCGCCAGTGGGCGAGCTCCGGGGAGTTCTGAGGTAAAAACAAAATCCTCGCCACCCCCACCACTTAGGCCCCGCCCCCTCTCCCACTACGCCCCGCCCCCTCTACCACTACGCCCCGCCCCCTCTACGCCCCGCCCCCCTCTACCACTACGCCCCGCCCCCTCTACCACTACGCCCCGCCCCCTCTACCACTACGCCCCGCCCCCTCTACCACTACGCCCCGCCCCTCTCCCACTACGCCCCGCCCCCTCTACGCCCCGCCCCCTCTCTCACTACGCCCCGCCCCCTCTCACACTACGCCCCGCCCCCTCTACCACTACGCCCCGCCCCCTCTACCACTACGCCCCGCCCCCTCTACCACTACGCCCCGCCCCTCTCCCACTACGCCCCGCTCCTTTCTATATCGCCCCGCCCCCTCTCCCACTACGCCCCCTCTACAGCCCCGCCCCCTCTTCCCTCACCTACCCCACCCCCTCTCCCCCCACCACCCCTTTCTCCCCTCGCCCAGTCCCTCCCCCACCTCCCAATCACCTCCACCGCCCCACCCCCCCACGCCATAAAAGGACATGTGACGTCATCACGCCCCTCCCTCACCTCCGTCAAGTCCCCCCCCCTGCCCATAACAGGGCATATGACGTCACGAGACCTCAACACGCTCCCGCCCCCCTTAAGGTCCGAGCCCCCCGAACCCATTGAAAGGTTACATGACGTCATCAAACGAAACCTTCTCTCCGCCAGGTCTGAGCCCCCTTAAACCATGACAAGGTTACATGACGTCATCAAACCCACACTCTCTCCGCCCCCCTTCGTGTCTGAGCCCCCTAAACTCATTAAAAGTTACATGACGTCATCAAACCCACCCTCTCCCCGTCCCCCCCTAAACTCATTAAAAGTTACATGACGTCTAAAAACCCACCCTCTCCCGCCCCCCCTTTCAGGTCTAGACGCCCCCTGCCCCCCAGAACCACGTGGACAGTTACCACGTGGTTAGTTACCACGTGGACAGTTACCACGTGGACAGTTACCACGTGGTTAGTTACCAGCACCTCGCCGGGATCCATGCACTGCTGGATCACACCGCCTCCACAAAGCCCCAAGGACCTGACGATGTCTACAGTGACGTCGTCACTGAACTATATGCAGAGTTTATAGTTTGGGGCCATCCATAAATGACGTCACGCGATTTTGGACCATTTTTGACCCCCCCCCTCGTCACACGGCGTCACAAAAAGTCAGACCCCCCTCAAATATGACGTCACAAAGCTGTCCCCCCCAAAAACCATATTACCATTTTAAAATAAAACATGCTTCAAATCGCTTTAAACTATTGTCATTGTAGTGCGTAGTTAATGTGGCGCTGCACTCTGATGTTGTAGGAGAAAACTTTATTACAAAGTCTATTTAATTAGGTAGAATGTGTTTATATTTATTTAGAGTTGCGCATTTTGATGTGACGTCAAATTTCTCAACCCCCCCCCCCTCGTCACAAATGTCTGACCCCCCCCCAGGTGCGTGACGTCATTTATGGACGACCCCCAACCTGCGTCTTCTCTAATCCGCGTGTTCCCGTCCCAGAAGACGGTCGATCACCGTCGATTATCCGGCATCGCACGATTATCCGGCTGCTACTCCCAACATTAAACTGGTAGGAACCACCTGGTTTCACCAGCCCACAGGGGATTATTGTGTCCGTCCGTCCTGCATCAAAAAATGGGAGGGGTGGGGCTGGGTGCAGAGGGGAGGGTAAGGAGGGGCTGGGTGGGGAGGGGTGGGGCTGGGTGGGGAGGCGCTGGTCACCCCGTGGTGCCCTTATAAAACTCAACGTTTAACCTACTCACGCCGGCTTGTGCCCGCCCTCACAGTCGGCTATATTTGCGGAATACACCACGCCGCCGTTGACCCTGCAGGCCATTGACCGAGCAACCCAACAACGTTGCTACCAGCTCCCTCCGCAGGAGGAGGAATGTGTTCCGGCGATCCCGGGCGGATCTGGCAAATCCGCTCCAAAGGCTGTAACCAGGTCCGGCGATGCCGGGCCGCGTGTGCGTGGAGCAGCCGAGATCGATCATCAGCGTCCAATATTCTACACGGTACATTACCCACTACATACATTCAACTTCCGACGATGAAAATACTGCACGTGGATAGACATCACCCCAAGGCAGTAGCCATGGAGTCAACATTGGGGGGGCCCAAATCTTTCAGGGGGTCCCCCCCCCCCCCCCAGAAAAAAAATTCTAAATTTGAAAACGAATTTCCTGCCTAAAATATGAAAAAAATTCACTAACACATGGGATGGACTTTTTTTTACAACAATGTCTAATAGTGTATTGTATTACATTGCTCTGTTTTTTTTCTTTCTTTACCTTTTCTTGTTTCATTGTATGTCATGGCAGAGATTAGGGATTTATAAAGTACAACCATAACCACAATCATATAAACAGAAATCGATTTTATAGCAATATCTTGGGGGGGGGGGGGACATTTTGAGCATATTTGAATATTGGGGGGAGGGGGATGTCCCCCCCAATATCTATTCTAATTACGGCCTTGCATCACCCCCATGATGAGTCGTCGACGAGATTGGCGTGGTAAGTAGGGTACAGTAAACACGGCATTTCTTTTAACGCGGGATATTTTTGTTGTTGTCCATTTGTGTGTTGATTTATGCCAATGTCACACAGTACACACATTGATTTGAAGCTTTCGTGACTGCATGAATCCATACTCTTTGGTTCTTTCGGTAAAGTCACGTAGATAGGTTCAAAGAAAATAACACACGTTTAAAAACGCTGAAAAGAATGACATGTAACGCCTCAAAAACAATTAATGTCATACAAGAATGTGCAATGATTTGGTGATTATCCGTTTTTACAAATCCGGCACCCACCGACTGATCGACTCGAGGTCTCAGCACGCACGCAGCACACAGTCGACCAGTGAAATCATCGCCACGGGGAGACAAAGGCGGCCGGGCGCGGTGCTGGCCACCCACCCCCTCGTGTGCCGTGCCGGCCTCCATAGGTGCTCGCTGACAGCACTTGCCCCTACAGTCTGTTACAGGCTACACGGGGACCTTTGTCTTTGTGTGGCCTTCAAAGGAAAGACACAAGAGGCGACGTTTCGGGCCAAGGCCCTTCCGAGGAGGTAAGATCCACGCCCGACTTTTATTCCTGCCCAGTCCCACCGCGTCTGCAACGGTAAAACTAAAACTGCGATTAGCAAATTAACGACATTGCAAATCACAGCACAATTTTTGTTTATTCAAAGAATCGGCAATTCTATAAAACGCATTCCCCGCTTTTACAGCAATCGATTTTAAATCTCAAAGCAGCCTGTAAACAACAACAAAACCACTCGGAAGTAGCGGAAACGCCAAGACGCGTCTCCGTGAGCAAGCGCTGGCGTGGTAGCAGTGCACCACCAGACGTGCCCCCCCCCCCCCCTTATCGACACGCACCACCGCCACCACCGCCACCACCGCCACCACCGCCACCACCGCCACCACCGCCACCACATAGCGCACGATCTTAAATCACGTTCCAAGTCCCGAGCCACAATCGAGAGCGGTGCTCCTCACCGCAAGGCAACCGCGGGGGCGACCACTGGGGGGGGGGACCCCGCTGGTGGCCTTTGGTGAAGAGCACCGGTCCAGACCGTGAATCCGGCTCTCAATGAAGACTGATGACCGCTCTCAAGACTCCAATCTGAGGAAGTGGCTTCAGGAGGTGACACTTCAAGCTCACGTTCCGTTCTTAGTTGGTTCGTTCACAATGGCCACCGGGAATTTGATGTTTGTGCAACGCTTGCAAGGCGGTTCCTCTGGCTGAAACGAAACTGCGGTGAATTCTCCATGGCAACCAAAACGAACCGCGGTGAATTCTCCATGGCAACCAAAACGAACCGCGGTGAATTCTCCATGGCAACCAAAACGAACCGCGGTGAATTCTCCATGGCAACCAAAACGAACCGCGGTGAATTATCCATGGCAACCAAAACGAACCGCGGTGAATTCTCCATGGCAACCAAAACAAACCGCGGTGAATTCTCCACGGCAACCAAAACGAAACGCGGTGAATTCTCCACGGCAACCAAAACAAACCGCGGTGAATTATCCATGGCAACCAAAACGAACCGCGGTGAATTCTCCATGGCAACCAAAACAAACCGCGGTGAATTCTCCATGGCAACCAAAACGAAATGCGGTGAATTCTCCATGGCAACCAAAACGAACCGCGGTGAATTCTCCATGGCAACCAAAACGAACCGCGGTGAATTCTCCATGGCAACCAAAACGAACCGCGGTGAATTCTCCATGGCAACCAAAACGAAATGCTGTGAATTCTCCATGGCAACTAAAACGAACCGCGGTGAATTCTCCGCGGGACGATGTCTGGCACGACATAACGCGGTGCGAGCCGAATTCGTGCCGCGTCGGAGACCTTCGACGGCTAAACGTTGGTCAGGAGCGAGTCTGGAAAAGTGGCATCGCCGTAACAAGCCAGCAGGTGGGAGTGCTCTTCCTCCTGAAAAGACAGCGTGGGGATTTTGATCACTCACTCACCCACTCGCTTGCTCGCCCGCCTGCCCACCCGCTTGCTCGCTCACCCGCTCGCCCACCCGCTCGCCCGCCCGCTCGCCCGCCCGCTCGCCCGCCCGCCCGCCCGCTCGCCCACGCGCCCACTCACTTGCTCACCCACTCGCCCACTCACTTGCTCACTCACTCGCCCACTTGTTCACTCACTCGCCCACTCGCTCACCCACTCGCCCACTCGCTCACTCACTCGCCCACTCGCTCACTCACTCGCCCACTCGCTCACTCACTCGCCCACTCGCTCACTCGCCCACCTACTCGCCTGCCCACTTGCTCGCTCGCTCACTCACTCGCCCACTCGCTCACCCACTCGCCCACTCGCTCGCCCACTCGCTCGCCCACTCACTCACTTACCCACTCGCTCACTCGCCCACCCACTCGCTCGCCCACTCACTTACCCACTCGCTCACCCACCCACTCACTGGCCCACCCACTCGCCCGCCCACTCGCTCACCGACTCACCCACTCGGTCATTCACTCACCCACTCACTCACTCACTCGCTCGCCCACTCACCCACTCGGTCATTCACTCGCCAATTCGCTCACTCAATCACTTGTCCACTCGCTCGCTCACTCGCTCACCCACTCACCAACTCGGTCATTCACTCACTCACTCACTCACCCACTCGCTCGCCCACTCACTCACCCACTCACTCATCCACTCGCTCACCCGCTCACTCGCCCACCCACTCGCCAACCCACTCGCTCGCCCACTCGCTCACCCACTCTCAAGCCCCCTATCAGGGCCACTTACTCGCACACTCACTCACTCACTGACCCACTTGCCCACTCACTCACTCGCCCACTCACTCGCCCACTCACTCACTCACCCACTCGCCCACTCGGTCACCTACTCGCCCACTCACTTACCCACACGCTCACCCACTCGCTCACTCACTCACTAATCCACTCGCTCACTCGCCCACTTACTTACCTGCTCATTCGCCCAGCCACTCGCTCGCCCACTCGCTCACCCACTCGCTCACCCACTCTCTCACCCACTCGCTCCTTCACTGACCCACTCGCCCACTCACTCACGCACTCGTCCACTCACTCACTCACCCACTCACTCGCCCACTCGCTCACTTGCCCGCCCACTCACCCACCCACCCACTCACCCGCACGCCCAGCATGCCTTCCACGTGCGAGATTTCGGTGACAAAGTCCTGCATCCTCAGCCGAAGCGTCTCCCTCTGCTCCTGGGACTCCAGCAGCTCCCCCTTCAGAGTCTGGAGGCAAAGGGCGACGATGGTGACGATTTGCATTGCTCACAGTGCAGCCCAGCGATAGCTCGCCCGCCGGAGACAACTCCGTGGAGAGAGCTCCGGAGCCTTCCCCTCTCTCTCTTCCACGGTCGCCACGTGCCTTTGAGGAGGTCGCAGTGCCCACCGCTTTACCCCACCGCCCGCTACGCAGGAGGCCTTGGGTTCGATCATTTGTAGCAGCAGCTACTGCTGCTGCTACAAATGATCCCCACGTGTGGCGGTGGCGGCAATATCGGCGACGATCGACGATGAACTATCGTCACCACGCGGCGAGAGCCAGGTCGACTCTGAACAAGCGCTGCGCAGGCTTGGTGGGCCTTACTTGGCAAATAACACCTGGAAAAATCAAAGACCAACTTGTGGTTGAGCCCATGTATACTCTATAATAGAGGTTTTGTTGGGTTAGATCGCGTGAATATACCTGTCGTTAAACCCGCCACCGCCCGACACAGCCAATTAGTAAGGTTTAGTGTCACGTAAACAGAACATTGCCAATTCGTTACGAGTGTAATGTGAGGATATATCCGGGTGGTTGATGGATCACACCTCGTCACGATGATTGGCTCTAGCGGTCCTGGCCCATAGCCAATGGGGGGAAGTCTAGGGGCAAGGCCCTGACGTAATGGGAAGGTGACATCTGTAAGTAGAGGATTGGATCTGCTGGCTTTAGCCACAGCCAATGGGGGGACGAGTCAGGGGCGCGGTCCTGGGATCGTACGATGGCGTCTAGAAAATTCCATGGAGGTTAACCAGGATTGGTGGAAAGGTACCACGTGACCCGGGTATTAAAAGGGGTGGAGACGGACAACACATGGTCAGATCTGGAACGAACGGAGGGTGAGGCCACGCTGGAGCGGGGTCCAGGCTGCCACGTGGCCGCGCGTGTCTCTTTCTCTCCCTCTCCCTCTCACGCTGTCTGTCAGCAGCGTGAAGGAGTAAGACAGAAGTGTTGTGAACGAAAGACAAATAAAGGCCGGATTCCAGAAGTCGCTTCCACGACCTTTATTACACGAGTACAGCACCAACTGGTCGTGTGTTGGAGAGCCAAGAAACAGCATTTACCATCGGAGTACGACGATTCGCCAGTCATTACAACCAGCTTCATCAGGCGGCAGACAGATTTGCATACTGCTATGCACTTTCGAATCTAAAATTGATAACCCAATTTTCTGTTTTTTGTGTTTAGTTTGTTGTCGTGTGTGTGTGTAGAACTTCTATCGCACCGCCGTACGTAGCCAACGTAGCTTCGGTTGGCTACGTACGCTGCGAAAGAAGTTCAACATAGGTATGCGGTGGCTAGGAGATGTTTACTTACCTCGCTTCATATACAGGAGGTCGTGGGTTCGATCCCGACCCTGACGATGCCTACTGCTGCTGTATATTTGGAGTCTGCGTCTCTCTCTCATCATCACGGTGGCTAGGAGATGTTAACTACCTCGCCTGGTACACAGTAGGTCCTGGGTTCGATCCCGACCCTGACGATGCTTGCTGCTGCTGCTGTGTATTTGGAGTCTGCGTCTCTCTCCCCGTGGTGGTCCCTGCGTGGATTTGTCCCCGGCTCCTCCGCCGGGTTTTCCCTCCGCGTTTAGAATCAACATCACCACGCGCTCAGTCTTTGGCTGCTGCTATCAATTCCCACGCGATGATGACGATGATGACAATGATGACGATGATGACGATGATGACAATGATGATGATGACGATGATGACAATGATGACGATGATGACAATGATGACAATGATGACGATGATGACGATGATGACGATGACAATGATGACAATGATGACAATGATGACGATGATGACGATGATGACGATGGCTATAGGTGCACCGCAGGGTTAGGGCTATAGGGTCCATCGCTATAGGAGTCGAGGTGGCTATGGGTGCACTACAGGGTTAGGGCTATAGGGTTGACCTATAGGGTCGAGGTGGCTATAGGTGCACTGCAAGATTAGATGGTGATGATGATGATAACGGCCTCCTGGTCGAGTCCGTTCGTCGCACGTCCGCTGTGTGGCGGTGGTGGCGGCCCTTGGGCCGGGGGCAAGGCGAGGGGCCTCACCTCCACGTGAGCGGCGAGCTTCTCGGCCTGCTGACGAGCGCAGGCTTCACTTCGCCGCAGCTCCGCCGTGCGCTGCCGGAGGTCGGCCTCACAGCGCGACGACGCCTCCTCTTTGGCCACCGTCAGGAAACGCACCTGGCAATGTCGTCGTCATAACCATCGTCATCGTCGTCGTCAACGTCATCGTTATTACCGTAGTCGTCATTGTCGTTGTCATCGTCATCGTTATTATCCTCATCACCATCGTCATCACCATGGTCATCGTTGTCATCATCGTTATTATCATCACCATCATCGTCGTCATCATCATCGTTGTCATCATCGTCATCATCATCTTAATCATCATCGTCTTAGCGGTCATTAATGTATTCATCATCATTTGTCATCGTAGTCATTTCCATCATCATGGCCAACCCACATCACCACCACCAACCCGAACCATCAGAATGATCTCCGTCGTCAATTGTGGTCATCATGGCGTCTTCACCATCACCTTTCTCTTTCATGTCAAGTCGTGTTGGCGTGGCCTGGGGCTGCCTCCTTGCGGCCGCTTGTACAGTGACAGCGGATTCCCGACCTGATCCTCGGCGTGCAACCCCCCCTCCCCGCCGTTGCCGCCGTTCCTTCATCAGGGGCCCGACCATCGCCAACGGAACTTGCCCCGACTGTTGTCGAAGGCCTATGCGGTGGTGGAACCTTTGTCTTTGTGAGTGAGGGCAGGTGGACTGTGAGGAGCGGTGGCGCAGCGGTTAGCGCTACGAACCCGGCGACCCGAGTTCGATTCCCGCTCACGGCCAACGCCGGTGGCGATGATCTTAACCGGTCCTGGGTCTCCCCTAGGTCGACTCGGCCTCAAATTAGTACCCGGTGCATCGCCACTGGGGGAGACAAAGGCGGCCTCCCCCTCGTGCGCCGTTCCAGCCTCGGTCGGTGCTGCTCGCTCACAGCACTTGCCCCTGCAGTCTGTTACAGGCTACACGGGGGATCTTTGTCTTTGTGAGGGCAAGATGTGCTGAGTGGAGGCGAACCTGCGAGTCGAGGTCAGCGGCTCGGCCCTCCGACCGTCTCAGCTCGGCCCTCAAGCGCTGCAGCTCCCCCTGCAGGTCGCGGATGCTGCAGGGCAAACACAGAATACCACTCGGCACCCTCACCACCCTCACCACTCACTACAGACCATCACTCAGCACCCTCACCACTCAGTACCCTCACCACCCACCACTCACTACAGACCACCACTCAGCACCCTCACCACTCAGCACCCTCACCACTCAGCACCCTCACCACTCACCATCCTCACCACTCAGCACCCTCACCACTCAGCACCCTCACCACTCACTACAGACCACCACTCAGCACCCTCACCACTCAGCACCCTCACCACTCAGCACCCTCACCACTCAGCACCCTCACCACTCACTACAGACCACCACTCAGCACCCTCACCACTCAGCACCCTCACCACTCAGCACCCTCACCACTCACCACTCAGCACCCTCACCACTCACTACAGACCACCACTCAGCACCCTCACCACTCAGCACCCTCACCACTCAGCACCCTCACCACTCACCACTCAGCACCCTCACCACTCACCACCACTCACCACCCTCACCACTCACCATCCTCACCACTCACCACTCAGCACCCTCACCACTCACCACCACTCACCACTCACCACCCTCACCACTCACCATCCTCACCACTCACCACTCAGCACCCTCACCACTCACCACCACTCACCACTCACCACCCTCACCACTCACCATCCTCACCACTCACCACCCTCACCACTCACTACAGACCATCACTCAGCACCCTCACCACTCAGCACCCTCACCACTCAGCACCCTCACCACTCAGCACCCTCACCACTCACCACTCAGCACCCTCACCACTCACCACCCTCACCACTCAGCACCCTCACCACTCACCACTCAGCACCCTCACCACTCAGCACCCTCACCACTCACTACAGACCACCACTCAGCACCCTCACCACTCAGCACCCTCACCACTCAGCACCCTCACCACTCACCACTCAGCACCCTCACCACTCACCAGAGGTGTGGACTCGAGTCATGTGACTTGGACTCGAGTCAGACTCGAGTCATGAATTTGATGACTTCAGACTCGACTTGGACTTGCATAACAATGACTTTGTCCCACCTCTGCCACTCACCACCCTCACCACTCACTACAGACCACCACTCAGCACCCTCACCACTCAGCACCCTCACCACTCAGCACCCTCACCACTCACCACTCAGCACCCTCACCACTCACTACAGACCACCACTCAGCACCCTCACCACTCAGCACCCTCACCACTCAGCACCCTCACCACTCAGCACCCTCACCACTCAGCACCCTCACCACTCACCACTCAGCACCCTCACCACTCACCACCACTCACCACTCACCACCCTCACCACTCACCATCCTCACCACTCACCACTCAGCACCCTCACCACTCACCACCACTCACCACTCACCACCCTCACCACTCACCATCCTCACCACTCACCACTCAGCACCCTCACCACTCACAACCACTCACCACTCACCACCCTCACCACTCACCATCCTCACCACTCACCACCCTCACCACTCACTACAGACCATCACTCAGCACCCTCACCACTCAGCACCCTCACCACTCAGCACCCTCACCACTCAGCACCCTCACCACTCACCACTCAGCACCCTCACCACTCAGCACCCTCACCACTCAGCACCCTCACCACTCACCACTCAGCACCCTCACCACTCACCACCACTCACCACCCTCACCACTCACCATCCTCACCACTCACCACTCAGCACCCTCACCACTCACCACCACTCACCACTCACCACCCTCACCACTCACCATCCTCACCACTCACCACTCAGCACCCTCACCACTCACCACCACTCACCACTCACCACCCTCACCACTCACCATCCTCACCACTCACCACCCTCACCACTCACTACAGACCATCACTCAGCACCCTCACCACTCAGCACCCTCACCACTCAGCACCCTCACCACTCAGCACCCTCACCACTCACTACAGACCACCACTCAGCACCCTCACCACTCAGCACCCTCACCACTCAGCACCCTCACCACTCACCACTCAGCACCCTCACCACTCACTACAGACCACCACTCAGCACCCTCACCACTCAGCACCCTCACCACTCAGCACCCTCACCACTCACCACTCAGCACCCTCACCACTCACCACCACTCACCACCCTCACCACTCACCATCCTCACCACTCACCACTCAGCACCCTCACCACTCACCACCACTCACCACTCACCACCCTCACCACTCACCATCCTCACCACTCACCACTCAGCACCCTCACCACTCACCACCACTCACCACTCACCACCCTCACCACTCACCATCCTCACCACTCACCACCCTCACCACTCACTACAGACCATCACTCAGCACCCTCACCACTCAGCACCCTCACCACTCAGCACCCTCACCACTCAGCACCCTCACCACTCACCACTCAGCACCCTCACCACTCACCACCCTCACCACTCAGCACCCTCACCACTCACCACTCAGCACCCTCACCACTCAGCACCCTCACCACTCACTACAGACCACCACTCAGCACCCTCACCACTCAGCACCCTCACCACTCAGCACCCTCACCACTCACCACTCAGCACCCTCACCACTCACCAGAGGTGTGGACTCGAGTCATGTGACTTGGACTCGAGTCAGACTCGAGTCATGAATTTGATGACTTCAGACTCGACTTGGACTTGCATAACAATGACTTTGTCCCACCTCTGCCACTCACCACCCTCACCACTCACTACAGACCACCACTCAGCACCCTCACCACTCAGCACCCTCACCACTCAGCACCCTCACCACTCACCACTCAGCACCCTCACCACTCACTACAGACCACCACTCAGCACCCTCACCACTCAGCACCCTCACCACTCAGCACCCTCACCACTCAGCACCCTCACCACTCAGCACCCTCACCACTCACCACTCAGCACCCTCACCACTCACCACCACTCACCACTCACCACCCTCACCACTCACCATCCTCACCACTCACCACTCAGCACCCTCACCACTCACCACCACTCACCACTCACCACCCTCACCACTCACCATCCTCACCACTCACCACTCAGCACCCTCACCACTCACCACCACTCACCACTCACCACCCTCACCACTCACCATCCTCACCACTCACCACCCTCACCACTCACTACAGACCATCACTCAGCACCCTCACCACTCAGCACCCTCACCACTCAGCACCCTCACCACTCAGCACCCTCACCACTCACCACTCAGCACCCTCACCACTCAGCACCCTCACCACTCAGCACCCTCACCACTCACCACTCAGCACCCTCACCACTCACCACCACTCACCACCCTCACCACTCACCATCCTCACCACTCACCACTCAGCACCCTCACCACTCACCACCACTCACCACTCACCACCCTCACCACTCACCATCCTCACCACTCACCACTCAGCACCCTCACCACTCACCACCACTCACCACTCACCACCCTCACCACTCACCATCCTCACCACTCACCACCCTCACCACTCACTACAGACCATCACTCAGCACCCTCACCACTCAGCACCCTCACCACTCAGCACCCTCACCACTCAGCACCCTCACCACTCACCACTCAGCACCCTCACCACTCACCACCCTCACCACTCACCATCCTCACCACTCACTACAGACCACCACTCACTACAGACCACCACTCACCACCCTCACCACTCACCACTCAGCACCCTCACCACTCACTACAGACCATTACTCAGCACCCTCACCACTCACCACTCAGCACCCTCACCACTCAGCACCCTCACCACTCACCACCCTCACCACTCAGCACCCTCAGCACTCACCACCACTCACCACCCTCACCACTCACCATCCTCACCACTCACCACTCAGCACCCTCACCACTCACCACCCTCACCACTCAGCACCCTCACCACTCACCACCCTCACCACTCACCACCACTCAGCCACACTCACCACCCTCAGCACTCACCACTCAGCACCCTCACCACTCACCACAGCACCACTTACCACCCTCACCACTCACCACTCAGCACCCTCACCACTCTCACCACTCAGCACCCTCAGCACTCTCACCACCCTCACCACAAACTACACGCAGCGTCACTCACCACCCTCACCATCGACTGCACTCACCACCCTCACCATCGACAAGTCAATGTCATCCCTCCAGAGTCAATACTCGGCCCTGGTCATAGGAACGTGGAATGCCCACCACTGGCTCTGCAGCGAGTGGCATAAAAATCGCTCCCACTCCCAACGCCGACCGGAACGCCTTGGAAGATGCCACCGCCTCCACCACACGTGCCCCTACGCGCCACCGCACGTGCCCCTACGCGCCACCGCACGTGCCCCTACGCGCCATGCTGCTGGCGTGGACCACGTGGGTGCCGGGCGGGGGTAGCGCTCACAAACGTGCTCCACTCTCCATCTGCACGGACGCTGGGACCGGCACCGCCTCACGGAGCCGGCCGTAGCTCGCCGGAGGTGCGAGGGAAGGACAACAAACTAAGCTCATAAAGCAGATTCTAGATTTGAAGCTTTCGTGACTGCAAGGATTCATACTCTTAGGTCTTTTCGGTAAAGTCACGTGGGTAAAAATAAAAATAATAGAAATATTAATAGAAATAAAACTATAAATCACGACGTTTCGGAGGCAACACAAGTCTCCGTCATCAGGTGGGACCGTCACAGCCAGATTTACTGAATCAATACACTGTATCAATACACTGTATCAATATTGTATCAATACACTGTATCATGGTTGCTTTGCATGATAATTAATCTATGACGCCAATGTCTTGGGAACTGATTGGCCTACACCACAGACAGCAGCAGCAGCCTCCTCCATGGCCCAGGCTCACCGCCCGTGTCAGCGGCAGCCGCCCTACTCGGCTGGGACGTTACCGTGTCAGCCGCCCTACTCGGCTGGGACGTTACCGTGTCAGCCGCCCTACTCGGCTGGGACGTTACCGTGTCAGCCGCCCTACTCGGCTGGGACGTTACCGTGTCAGCCGCCCTACTCGGCTGGGACGTTACCGTGTCAGCCGCCCTACTCGGCTGGGACGTTACCGTGTCAGCCGCCCTACTCGGCTGGGACGTTACCGTGTCAGCCGCCCTACTCGGCTGGGACGTTACCGTGTCAGCCGCCCCTACTCGGCTGGGATGTTACCGTGTCAGCCGCCCTACTCGGCTGGGACGTTACCGTGTCAGCCGCCCCTACTCGGCTGGGACGTTACCGTGTCAGCCGCCCTACTCGGCTGGGACGTTACCGTGTCAGCCGCCCTACTCGGCTGGGACGTTACCGTGTCAGCCGCCCTACTCGGCTGGGATGTTACCGTGTCAGCCGCCCTACTCGGCTGGGACGTTACCGTGTCAGCTGCCTTACTCGGCTGGGACGTTACCGTGTCAGCCGCCCTACTCGGCTGGGACGTTACCGTGTCAGCTGCCCCTACTCGGCTGGGACGTTACCGTGGCAGCCGCCCTACTCGGCTGGGACGTTACCGTGTCAGCCGCCCTACTCGGCTGGGACGTTACCGTGTCAGCCGCCCTACTCGGCTGGGACGTTACCGTGTCAGCTTCCCCTACTCGGCTGGGACGTTACCGTGTCAGCCGCCCCTACTCGGCTGGGACGTTACCGTGTCAGCCGCCCTACTCGGCTGGGACGTTACCGTGTCAGCCGCCCTACTCGGCTGGGACGTTACCGTGTCAGCTGCCCCTACTCGGCTGGGACGTTACCGTGTCAGCCGCCCTACTCGGCTGGGACGTTACCGTGTCAGCCGCCCTACTCGGCTGGGACGTTACCGTGGCAGCCGCCCTACTCGGCTGGGACGTTACCGTGGCAGCCGCCCTACTCGGCTGGGACGTTACCGTGGCAGCTGCCCTACTCGGCTGGGACGTTACCGTGGCAGCCGCCCTACTCGGCTGGGACGTTACCGTGTCAGCCGCCCCTACTCGGCTGGGACGTTACCGTGGCAGCCGCCCTACTCGGCTGGGACGTTACCGTGTGCAAGTGCTCTCCAGGAGGGTGGCGACGCGGGCCGCATCGGAGCCTCCAGAGTCCCCGAGGCTCCCCACTGTGCGGCACCAACAACACGGCACGCGGAAGCAGCAGCAACATCAGCATTAGCAGCAGCATCAGCAGCAGCATCAGCAGTGGCAGCATCATCAGCAGAAGCATCAACACGGCACGCGGAAGCAGCAGCAGCATCAGCAGTGGCAGCATCATCAGCAGTAGCATCAACACGGCACGCGGAAGCAGCAGCAGCATCAGCAGTGGCAGCATCATCAGCAGTAGCAGCAGCATCAGCAGTAGCTGCAGCATCATCAGCAGTAGCTGCAGCATCATCAGCAGTAGCTACATCATCAACAGCAGCATCATCATCATCAGCAGTAGCATCATCATCAGCAGCATCAGCAGCAGCATCATCAACAGTAGCAGCAGCATCAGCAGTAGCATCTTCAGCAGCAGCATCATCATCATCAGCAGTAGCAGCAGCATCAGCAGTAGCATCATCAGCTAGTAGCAGCAGCATCAGCAGTAGTAGCATCATCAGCAGCAGTAGCGGCAGCATCAGCAGTAGCTGCATCATCAGCAGTAGCAGCAGCATCAGCATCAACAGCAGCATCAGCAGTATCTGCATCATCAGCAGCAGCATCATCAGCAGTAGCATCAGCATCAGCAGTATCATCAGCATCAGCATCTGCATCATCAGCAGTAGCTGCATCATCAGCAGCAGCATCATCAGCAGTAGCTGCATCACCAGCAGCAGCATCATCAGCAGTAGCTGCATCATCAGCAGCATCATCATCAGCAGTAGCTGCATCATCATCAGCAGTATCTGCATCATCAGCAGTAGTTGCATCATCATCAGCAGCAGCTGTATCATCATCAGCAGTATCTGCATCATCAGCAGTAGCTGCATCATCATCAGCAGTAGCTGCATCATCATCAGCAGTATCTGCATCATCAGCAGTATCTGCATCATCATCAGCTGCATCATCATCAGCAGTATCTGCATCATCAGCAGCATCATCAGCAGTATCTGCATCATCATCAGCAGCAGCTGCATCATCATCAGCAGTATCTGCATCATCAGCAGCATCATCAGCAGTATCTGCATCATCAGCAGCATCAGCAGTATCTGCATCATCATCAGCAGCAGCTGCATCATCATCAGCAGTATCTGCATCATCAGCAGCATCATCAGCAGTATCTGCATCATCATCAGCAGCAGCTGCATCATCAGCAGCAGTATCTGCATCAGCAGCATCATCAGCAGTATCTGCATCATCATCAGCAGCAGCTGCATCATCATCGTCCGTAGCGGTTCAGGCTCATTGTGCTTCACCAGGTGAGGTATCTGCGTGCGGCCTGCAGGACGGAGGAGAGCCCTTTGCAAGAGTGACTGACCTGGCATCTCCAATAGTGGCAACATACAATTACATAAAGCGCAGCAGCAAAGTACAGCAGCAGCAAAGTACAGCAGCAGCAAAGTACAGCAGCAAAGCGCAGCAGCAAAGCGCAGCAGCAAAGCGCAGCAGCAAAGTACAGCAGCAGCAAAGTACAGCAGCAGCAAAACGCAGCAGCAGCAAAGTACAGCAGCAGCAAAGTACAGCAGCAGCAAAGTACAGCAGCAGCAAAGTACAGCAGCAGCAAAGTACAGCAGCAGCAAAGTACAGCAGCAGCAAAGCGCAGCAGCAGCAAAGTACAGCAGCAGCAAAACGCAGCAGCAGCAAAGTACAGCAGCAGCAAAACGCAGCAGCAGCAAAGATAAATGAGGACAAAAACAGAGACAATCGCTTTACACGAGGAATGGAAAATACTCCGCCAACAAAAGTCCACGGTCAAAAAAAGTAAAAAAAAACATTAAATTCCCTGGGACCTTTAGTGTCAGTTATCAAAGTATGAAAAATAAGAAAAGGTTTGTTACCTCTTGACTTAAAGCTTCCGTGACTGCAGGAATTCGTATTCTTCGGGTCTTTCGGTAAAGCCACGGAGATAGAACAAATAATTAAATTCTCACGACGTTTCGATCTCGACACGGGCAATCGTCCTCAGGTGAAAAAATTCAGTGAGAGAGCTGACGAGGCAGAAAGACCCAAACAGTAGGTTTGTTTCTCTATATGGCAATAAAATAACAGCAGGAGTTGCGGTCAGATGTCCAAACACCAAATAGATTCTAGATTTTGCAAGGGATCAAGTTCCTGCGCTAACTTTTGGCGTTGTTCTCTGGTCTGACGCTGGTGCTGAGACGAGGCCATTCAGAAGGCTGCTGCTGGCTCTGGTGGAGGCCAACCAGTTTCAAAGACGATGCCATTAAATATTCTATAGTTATCAGAGCCACGTTTGTTGCATGTGTAGGGATGTTAGAGAAAGGGCCGTTATGTATGGCAGTCTATGGGAAAGAAACACAGTGGGCGGGGCTACGTGGGTGCACAGGGAGATGCCCTCTGCGACGTCCGAGCCAGACACCCTGGGGGGGGCTGGTTTGGCGTTATGATCCCCCGGGGCCCCACCCCTCAAGGAGGGTTGGGTATAAAAGGGGACGTTATATGGGCTCGGGGGCAGTTATGTTATAGTTAACTAAGAAGACTGAAGACGTCTTAGATAGAGCCCTGGACTCCCTCGTTCGATGTCCTTGTCAGGGCCGAACAGGACCGAGCCAGCGGCGTGGTCCCGAAAGCCAGAGCCGGTGCTCTTCTAAGAGCTGGTCTGGGACTCCGGGTGCTGGCCCGACTTACCAGTGTCGGGCCAAGTAGCCTCCCCTAGCCCAGTAGTGGAGGACTGTGAGGCAGGCTAGGACTTAGCTAGGAAGAGTATCCTTAGCTAGTCGGGTGAGGGGGCCGATACCCCCTCCAGTGCTGTATGTCACATACGAGCTTTGTTGAATAAATATCCGTGTGCCTCCACCTCGGCGTCAAGTGTCTTCACCGGTACTTCAACTGGTGTCAGAAGTAAAACTCGAACATGGACACGCGGAAGACAACGCGGGCCAAAGTACCGCAAGAAGAAGATACTGCCGAGATCGAAACGCCCGGGACGGCTACACAAGCCACAGTGCAGCCGGAGCCTGATGTCTCCTTACCGGGGCATCCGAGTGAAGGAGGATCACAGTCAGACGCATTGCGGCTGGCTCACGGGAGGCTGGCGGAGCTGTTATACGCCGCTGCCGCCACGCTGGAGTCCATCACGCGGCTGGGGGCCGGTGATTCAGCACGGGGCGAGACGGCCCAACGACCAGGGCGCCTTCCCGCCATTTCGGAGCAGCCCGAGTTTGAATCTCCCGCCATCGACGCTGCAGCTGTTCGGGGCGTGGCCAGCCTAAACATCCACTCCGGCATCGCCGTCGCTGAAGCCACGACGTCATCACCACCGCGACAGGCGATTCCATCGGCCGCTCGTACCGACGCACAGCCAAGTGGAGGTGACATCCGCCCGCGGGAATCAACAACGACCGCTGCACTCCATCAGAGGCTGCCCCCGCTGAAAGAGTTCGTCGGCGCGGAGGGGGACTGGGCCGGGTTCCGCAGGCGATTCCTCGCCCATCAAGAGATGGCGAGGTGGACAGACGAGGAGGCTCTCTGCGCGCTGCCGGCGCTCCTCGACAGCGACGCGCTCGCAGCCCTCACATCGGCACCTAAAGAGAGGCGGGCGACGTTACCGATGGCGCTGCAGCTGCTGGGAGGGGTCTACGGACCATCGGCGGAATGCAGACAGGAGTTCTACGACCGCAAGCGGGGTGAAAAGGAGTCGCCCCTGGCGTACCGAACGAGCCTCCTGGCGATGGCCAAGTCGGCCTTCCCCCGTATGGATGACGACGGCATCGACGCTATGGTGACGGAGAAAATACTCCTCCTGGCTGACGACCTTGACATCGCTGTCGTCGCACAGGAGGACGCGGAAATGACATCGCTCCAGGCGGCGCGGCTCCTCCACGCAAACCTCCTGTCGCTCCGGCGGAAAGCCAGCAGGGCATCGGTGGGGCATGCGGTGGCTGCAGCCACCCTTCCGACGGAGGAACTCTACGCCGTCGACCACCGACGGCAACAGGCGACGAGTGCACGGCCGGGCCAGGACGGGTCGGGCCGTTCCGACCATTCGTCACCTCCGACGCCGCTCCCACGGTGTTTTAACTGCGGCGTCCGGGGCCACTTCGCCTCGGGGTGCCGCTCTCCTCGTCAGCGCGGGACGACACCTCACCGGGACGACGGGCCTCATCCCAAGCTCCACCATCAAAAACCGGCGAGTCGTGGCACCCCACACGTTTGGCCCACACACACACCCGTCACGCACTCAAACACCGCGACGAGAGGGGGGCCGGTATCACGCACCATCGCACCATCACGCACCACTCCGGGTACCCATATCGAACCCGGCCAGTGGTCCGTGCTGGCCGATCGTGTGGTTGCCGCATCGTCGGGGTCGTCGGCCGTTGTGGGGTATATCGACGGGGTTGAAGTGCGCATCCTGGTCGATACGGGAGCATCGGCGACTATTATTTCGGAATTAATTTATAATATTCTCCCTGTCCGGAGTCGTCCCTTGATGCCGGTTAACATACCATTCTATGCGGCTAACGGGGGCTCACTTGGCATCATCGGACAAATTCGTGCCCAAATTTGTATCGGGGAAATAAAATTGTCTGGGCCGATTTTTGTTTCTTCCTCGCTGGTGGTTCCGTGCCTGCTGGGGACGGACTTCCTGGCCAAAATGCCGATTGTAATTTTGATCGACCAGGGTTGCATAGAGCTTCCGTCGGGCAGACGCATGGCGTTTCTGCCATCACCGGTTGCGACTCGGACGGCGTTCGCGACGGTGCCGGCGTTCGTGGAGAGAACGGTACGCGTCCCTCCGGGGACGCAAATGTTGGTACCCTTGAAACTTCGGCGGCCCCTCGTTAAGGGTGCTGGGGCACAAGGGGTACTGTTGGGACCGTCTAGGGCCGGGGTTAGTGGACCTGACTTACTTCCGGCCCAGACCATAGTGAGAGGGGATGGTGAACCCTTCATCGCGGTCCTAAATGTGGGCTCGCGGACGGTGGTGGTCCCACAGGGGACCGTGCTTGCTCACGCAACGCCGGTGCCGTGTGAGGAACCCGCCGTAAATCGCGTCAACACTGTCCCTGCGTCGCGACCGCATTCGGACAGCGATGAAGGGTGGCTCGAGGCGCTTTGTGCGGGATCGACGGACCTGTCCGATTCAGAGCGTCAACAACTTAAAACACTACTGCGAGAATTTTCCGACGTTTTTAGTCGAAATAAATATGATTTGGGTTGCACTCACTTGCTGCGTCACCATATTGACACGGGTGACAGCGCGCCAATTCGCCAAAATCCGTTTCGGTTGAGTCCCGCCGAAAAGGACCATGTCAAATCGGCTGTTGATGACATGTTGGCCGCAGACATCATTTCTCCTTCCACCAGCCCTTGGGGAGCGCCGATCGTCCTGGTTAAAAAGCAGGACGGTTCGTTGCGGTTTTGCGTTGACTTCCGGCGTCTTAATAAAATTTCGGTTGCCGACGCATACCCGCTCCCTCGGATGGATGAATCGCTTGACGCCTTGGCGGGAGCGCGATTCTTTTCCACACTCGATTTACTTTCAGGATTCTGGCAGCTTCCTCTGGATGATGAGTCAAAGCCTAAAACTGCTTTTCGTACACCGCACGGCTTGTTTCAATTCAACCGGTTGCCGATGGGCTTACACTCAGCGCCGGCAACTTTCCAGCGTTTAATGGAATTGGTTTTGGCTGGACTGCAATGGGAGTCGTGCCTCATTTATTTGGATGACGTTATCGTCTTTGGTAAAACTTTTGATGAACATCTCCAGAGGTTGCGGGCGGTCTTCCTAAAGATGCGGGCTGCTAATTTGAAATTCAAGCCCCAAAAATGCCATTTGTTGCGTGATTCGGTGCGTTATTTGGGGCACATCGTGGGACGCTCAGGTATTGCTACCGATCCCGCCAAAACGCAGTGTGTCAGCTCCTGGCCGACTCCCACCTCGGTGGGAGAGGTCAGGAGTTTCATTGGGTTCGCGTCGTATTATCGACGGTTTGTTGCTGATTTTGCAACAATTGCTAAACCCCTGCACGCTTTAACATCTAAAGGGGTTCGGTTCCACTGGGGTCAAGAGGAGGAGGCTGCGTTCCGCTCCCTTCGGGACGCTCTGGTGAAAGCCCCTCCCTTGATTTACCCTGATTTTTCGAAGCCCTTTTTGCTCGACACCGATGCGAGCAACACGGGTATTGGGGGTGTGCTTTCCCAGGTGGTTGATGGCGTTGAACGGGTGGTCGCGTACGGTAGTCGGGTGTTGTCTCCTGCGGAGCAGAGATATTGTGTCACCCGTAGAGAACTGTTGGCAATTGTTTTTTTCATCCAACAGTATCGCCCATATCTGTACGGTCGGCATTTCACCGTCCGCACAGATCATGCGGCACTACAGTATGCCCTGCGAGTTCAACAACCATCGGGACAGTTGTCTCGATGATTGGAGGTTCTCCAGGATTTTGATTTTGAGACCACTTACCGTAAGGGCGTTCGCCATACCAACGCGGACGCTCTGTCACGCATGCCAACCACCTCGGAATGTGCATGCCTCCTGGGGTCGGGACGTTGCAGACCTTCAGGGGACGCATCGGTTCCGATCCTGGCAGCCACCGACGACGACGAACCACTGCCTGATAATTCGATCGAACAACAGGGAAGGGATTCCCTGTTGGGGTTGCCCGTCACTGAGTGGGGGCGCCTCCAAATGGAGGATACCTCCCTCCTCGGGTGGCGTCGTCGCGTCGGGAGTGCTGGGCGGGTGAAAGGTGATTCGGGTGCATGGGAAATGGTACAGGGTCTGCTCATGCATTGGGACGGCAAATCACAGCGACATCGGCTGGTCGTCCCTTCTGAGTTGCGAGGCAAAGTGGTGTGGGCCGCGCATGAGCGCCTGTTACATCTGGGGACTCTAAAGACCCTTGCACTGATACAACTAGATTTTTTTTGGCCTGGTATGACAAAGGATGTTGGGGATCTTTTGAGTTCATGCCCGCGGTGTGCGCAACGGAAACCGCCGGCACGGGAGTCTAACCCGCCTTTGCAATCAATCAAGGTGTCCAGAATAAATGAGCTTGTCGCGCTGGACATCTTGGGCCCATTTCCCGCCACCCCCAGGGGCAATAGGTATTTGCTGACAGGAGTCGAGTATTTTACGCGCTGGCCCATGGCCTGGCCCCTTGCCAACCAGTCGGCAGCAGCCATCGTGGACGCCTTTGTTCAGGGATACGTCCTGGACAAAGGTGCTCCGGAACGGCTGCTGACCGACCAGGGTAAAAATTTTTCCAGCAAATTACTTAAACAAGTCTGTGACCTCTTAGGCACAAAGAAAATTCGGACCTCCCCGTATCACCCACAGACTGACGGAATGGTCGAGCGCCTGCATCGCACCATTTCGTCAATGATGGCACAGCAGGTCTCAGATTCACAGACTGATTGGGACCTGCATATTCAGGGGGTCTTGGCGGCATACCGGATGGCACCCCATGCAGCTACGGGATTTTCCCCCTTTTACCTTATGTACGGTCGCGAACCCGACCCGCCTGTTCGCGCCCAGCTGCAGATCCCCGACCCGCAAGGAAAAACTAAATTGGCTGACCACGTCAAATTTAATCTGGCTAAATTAACAGAGGCGCGGGATGCTGCGAGGTTGAACTCGGACCTCCGTCAAAAGGCGAACGAGCGCCTCAGGCTGGGTCGGGCGCATGTAATACAGTGGAAACCGGGGGACAGGGCATGGTTGCACTGTCCCCAAGTACCCCTGGCTACCTCCCCTAAGCTGGCGCGGCCGTGGCGGGGCCCTGTGGAAGTGGTCGAGGTCTTGCGACCACAGTGCGTGCGCATTCGATGGGGGAAGCGGCGATGGTTCGTGCACCCCTCTCGGTTGAAACCCTTCGTCGCGGTACACAAACCCACTTCACACATGCGTGGCCAGACGTGTGGGGGGTCGACCGACTCACTAGGTCCGTCTCCACCGCGCTCACCTAATGCCTTGCCGGCCGTGCCACCTCCAGGTGCATCGAGACTGACGGGCTCACGCCCGACCACCCCTTCTGGGGATACCAACAGTCACGCGGCATCAGAGGAGGCCTCACTCCGGGACGGACGATTACCACCTGACGGTCCGCCACCCGGGGTTTCCCCGTGTGAGGGGCCCGCCGCGAGGACACGCGCAAAAATGCGCAGACTGTTGTGAAACCGCAAGATGTGTATATATGTTGTGTTCATTGTGTGTTGTGTGGGGGGGTGTGTTCCCTGCCCATTGAATTTACATACGTTGTGCTCACCTGCTGTTGTGTGTATGGTGGCTTCGCTGCAAATTGTATATAGCTTGTTCTTACGGAATTCGTATTTATTCAAGGGGGGGTGCGTCGGGTTGTTTTCTCTTCTTGCTGTTGCATTTTTTTTTTTGGTTGTGTTCTTGTTGCCGTTCTTGTTATTGTTGAAAGTTAGTGAGGCACACGCGCGGTTACGGTAAAAATTCATTTTTATTGTCATTCTGTATGTTGGCAGCCGGGACGGCTGCGAGCTATGTAGGGGGGAGTGATGTAGGGATGTTAGAGAGAGGGCCGTTATGTATGGCAGTCTATGGGAAAGAAACACAGTGGGCGGGGCTACGTGGGTGCACAGGGAGATGCCCTCTGCGACGTCCGAGCCAGACACCCTGGGGGGGGCTGGTTTGGTGTTATGATCCCCCGGGGCCCCACCCCTCAAGGAGGGTTGGGTATAAAAGGGGACGTTATATGGGCTCGGGGGCAGTTATGTTATAGTTAACTAAGAAGACTGAAGACGTCTTAGATAGAGCCCTGGACTCCCTCGTTCGATGTCCTTGTCAGGGCCGAACAGGACCGAGCCAGCGGCGTGGTCCCGAAAGCCAGAGCCGGTGCTCTTCTAAGAGCTGGTCTGGGACTCCGGGTGCCGGCCCGACTTACCAGTGTCGGGCCAAGTAGCCTCCCCTAGCCCAGTAGTGGAGGACTGTGAGGCAGGCTAGGACTTAGCTAGGAAGAGTATCCTTAGCTAGTCGGGTGAGGGGGCCGATACCCCCTCCAGTGCTGTATGTCACATACGAGCTTTGTTGAATAAATATCCGTGTGCCTCCACCTCGGCGTCAAGTGTCTTCACCGGTACTTCACATGTTCAACACAAGCACTGTGGGTGGTTCATGCAGTAACCACGATTCCTTGCGAAAGGTTGAATCCATTTGGTGTTTGAACGTCTTCGCACAACTCCTGCTGTTTGATTGCTAGCAAGCTAAACAACAAACCCATCCCTCGATCTTTTCGTGGTTAAATTCCCTGCAGCAGGAGTCGGCTTTGAGCAGATCAACCTCGTGACCACCGGGCTGCCAAGGTTGGGAATGGGCTCCACAAACCTTTGTGACGCCGATCGGAGGTGGCTCTCCGCACGTTCATCTCCCGCTCCATCTCCTCCACCACCTCGTCGTCCTGCCTCTTTCTCTCCGACTCTCTCTCCCGCTCCTCCGAGAGTCTCTCCCGCTCCTCCCTGCATCTCTCCCGCTCCACCCTACATCTCTCCGTGTCCTCTGCCTCTCTCTCCCGCTCCTCCACGAGTCTCTCCCGCTCCTCCACGAGTCTCTCCGTCTCCTCCCGGCATCTCTCCAACTCCTCCTTGAGTCTCACCGTCTCCTCCCTCTCGCGCTGCAGCTGCTCCTCGGCACGGCGCGCCGCCAAGCGCTCCGCTCCCAGCGCCTCCGTGGTGCGCACGAGATCCCTGCGGCACGCGCGGAGCGGGGGGGACACGCGGAGAGACACGCGGAGGCACGTGGAGAGACACGCGGAGACACACGGAGACACACGGAGAGACACGGAGACACACGGAGAGACATGGAGAGACACGCGGAGACACGTGGAGGGACACGCGGAGAGACACAGAGAGACACGCGGAGACACGTGGAGGGACACGCGGAGACACGCGGAGAGACACGGAGAGACACGGAGAGACACAGAGACACGCGGAGACACGTGGAGGTACACGCGGAGACACGCGGAGAGACACGGAGAGACACGGAGAGACACGCGGAGACACGTGGAGGGACACGCGGAGACACGCAGAGACACACGGAGAGATACGCGGAGACACGTGGAGGGACACGCGGAGACACGTGGAGGGACACGCGGAGACACGCGGAGACACGCGGAGAGACACGGAGAGACACGGAGAGACACGCGGAGACACGTGGAGGGACACGCGGAACGGAGAGACAGTGAGAGATAAAGAGACAGACACACGAGACACGGAGGCATGGACAGACAGACACGGAGGCATGGACAGGCAGACACACAGAGACACGAACTTAAAAACACATGGAGAGACATGCGGAGAGACACGAGACATACCGAGAGGGGGCATACGGAGACACGGAGACCCAGAGATAAACTCAGAGAGACAGACGGGCGATGTAGAGACGCAGGGATGAGGAGGCACAGAGAGACCGAGAGACAGTGAGAGATAAAGAGACAGACACACAGAGACACGGAGGCATGGACAGACACACAGACACACCACAACAACAACCGCCATTCGCCACTAAGTGGGAGTGACATCACCACGGCACTTGTGCCAGGCTATGTGCATGTTAAGGTCACGTGAAGTGTCGAACGCCCGCTGGCAGGAGGTCTCGGGACAGACCCAGATGCCGTGGGTCGACTGACTGAGATGACTGGCCGATGCACAACCTGTGCCCCCTACTGTGCCAACTTGCTGTGTTTTAGCTACCCGGCGCTCCGCTCGTGGTTGTGAGTGTTGCTCCTCTGCCCTCCAAAGAGGCCGATCTTGACACCGATGGTACCAGTCATCAGCAAGTCCGCTCAGCTCCACATCCTCCTGTACCACATCACTCCATCGCTTCTCTAGCCCGTGCCGCGCCCGTTTAACCCCCTCGATCCAGCAGAACAAAAGCTGTTTAGGCATGCGGTGGCTGGGCATGTGGGCTACATGACCCAGCCAACGCAGCCTTGCCTGCTGGAGAAGCTCACCGATGGGACTTTGCCCAGATCTTTCAAGGATTTGTGAGCTCCTCACACAATCCAGCCTGGCTAAACCCAGGATGGATTGTAGGCAGGCCAGCCTGAATGTTTCTAACCTGCAAAGATGTACCATTAGGGGGGTCCACGTTTCGTAAGCATAAAGGGAGGGCATGACCATGGCCCAGAAGACCCAAACCGTATAGCGGAGCGACAGACCAGGTAGCTTCCACACAGCATTACGCAACCGATGAAAAGATAATGCCACTCGACTGATTCGGAGCGAGACCTCTGTTGTTAAACCGGAGCAGGTCATGAGCACACTGCCCAGGTATGGGAAACTCTCCACTCTCTCCACAACTGCCCCATCACTAATTGGGAGCTGAGGGGGTGGAGTGTCTGATGGTACAAAATACCCAGGCAGGTGCTTGGTTTTGGTGCAGCTGATGGCAAGGCCCCACCTCTTAGTGGCAAGCTCCAGGTTCAGCAGCACCGCCTCCAACTCCTCTGAGTGAGCAGCAATCACCAGATGATCAGCATACATAATATGGTTGACCAATAGGATGCCATTCCTTGACCGCACCCAGACATCAATCAGCCTCCCATTGTATCTGTATCAGATGGAAATCCCTCTGGTACAGCCATCAAAGGCTTCACGAATTACGTGGTCAAAATAGATGTTAAATAATGTGGGAGCCAGAGTATAACTCTGTCACAACCCCAAGGTGAACAGGGAATGGCTCCGACTCCCGGCCTCATATTTTTACCTGGGCCTGCTCACCATCATGAAGGCCCCTAATGATCGTGAGCAGAGAGTCAGGGACAGGGATATCAATCATCACTCCAAAAGCACGAAGAACAGAGACACACACCAACAACAACCGCCATTCGCCACTAAGTGGCGGTGACGTCACCACGACGCTTGTGCCAGGCTATGTGCACCTTGAGGCCATGTGAAGTGTCAAACGCCCGCTGGCAGGAGGTCACGGGGCAGACCCAGCAGGTGCCACGGGTCGACTGACCGAGATGACCGAGACAAGTGGCTGATGCACCACCTGTGCCCCCTACTGTACCAACTTGCTGTGCTTTAGCCACCCGGCCAAGACACATACATAGAGTCAGAGTCAGACGCACCGAGACACGGGGGCACGCATATGGAGACAGAGACACAAAGGCGTGGAGACGTGGAGACAGGATGATGAGACTTAGGGTCTGTACGCCGTGCCTGTGTGCGTCTACCAGTTGTTGTATATGTTGGGTATGAAAATTTGTTATGTTGTATGCGTGCGTGGGTGAAATTATTATGTTGTATATGTGGGTTATGAATATTCAGTGGAAATAATAATAATTAAATGAAATTTGGCCAAATGTGTAATTATCCGGAAATATGTTAATTTATGTAATTACGCACATTTTAATTATGCCAATTCGAGAGGTAATCGTATTAATTATGCGAGTGGGTGTAATTATGATAACGCAAGTCGTTATGATAACCAGACCCCGGTTCACCCCGTTATCGCTTTAACATTTACTGAGTATGTATTAGTGTGTTTATTAAGGTCACCAAGTTCAAATCTCAACGCAGAAGCAGGTCTTATGCATAGATTTCAGGAAAGAATCACACAACCACTTCTGTATTGATCAATTTATTACTAATTCAACCTTAACTATGATATAATATGCGAACTCTCAATCCCGGAACGTCAACACGGCATCAATACAGTATCATCAACGATTGTCTGATTTCACTTTGACAACTGCACATGGATCCCGCATAACGCGATGGTTGTTAGTGAGAGAGAGAGTCGTTAAAACACGCAAATACTATGCTAAGAAAACCTTAATGTTAATGAATGATTATACTCAATATTGTTCATAACGCGATGGTTGTTAGTGAGGGAAAGAGTCGTTGAAATATGCAAATACTATGCTAAGAAAACCTTAACGCTAATGAATGATTATACTCAATATTGTTCATGCAGTACCACACTCCTTGTTGACCATACGCAACCCTTATCACGTTGTTAACACCTTGGGTCACGGGACAGTTGAATATTCTGTAGAGGATGCGAGTACGTGCGGCGATTATGACTGAAAGATACTTGAAAGATTATACGGCGATAAAACACAATCAAAAACAGTTATTATTCTTAAAGGCACCAATCTCAACAGATACATCGGCAGGTTATCTGACAACAGAACGGCCCGGAGTAAGGGCCTGCGACGGTGCTCCTTTTCCGAAGCTCGTTATCTTATACCAAGTTTACTAATTGGGGACCAGATCACCTGATAAGGATCCGGTGGGCCACCACTCCCCACGTGAGCGTGGCTCGGCGGAAGGAGGTGCCAAGAATCAGTTCGTATTGATGGATCTGTTGGGAATTTATGCGATTAAGAGTACAGCCCACTAAATATTAAAGATAAAAATTGAAAATACTCTTATAAACGACGGAGGGCCATCCCTCGGTCTCGTTGTGATGCTTTCCAGCCACGGATGGCTTATGGGTTCGAGTGTTTTTGAGTGGTAAGAGTTGTCTTGAATAGTCAGTGTTCGGAGTCGATTCTTTAGGTCAAACAGACGCCTGGTGGTCGTGTGGTGAGGGGGCGGTGCGCGTCATACGTATCAGTTGATCCCCTGTCACCGTGGCGAACTGGTTCGGATGCCCGTTGATACGCTGTCGCAGTTCGGAACCCGGTCGGTAGGTGGCGCCCACAACTCGCTCGTAGCGTGCAGCTCTGGGTTGTCGCCGATCCGCGATGCTCACCACTCCGGTGGCAGCAGAGACCCCCGATTCGGCAGAGGTTGACGAGCTGAAGATGAGTCGAGCCGAACCGCTGGTCGCAGCTCGCTCCTGAGTCGACCCTCCCGGTTGAGCTCGCTCCTGGGTCGACCCGCTGGTCGCCCTCGCTCCTGAGTCGACCCTCTGGTCGCACTCCTGAGTGGACCCGCTGGTCGCACTCCTGAGTGGACCCACTCTGGTCGCACTCGTTCCTGAGTCGACCCTCCCGTCGCACTCCTGAGTGGACCCTCTCGTCGCACTCGTTCCTGAGTCGACCCTCCCGGTCGAGCTTCTGAGTGGACCCTCCCGTCGCACTCGTTCCTGAGTCGACCCTCCCGTCGCACTGATTTCCAATGCTCAGGATCCTTTACTTTATGCCGAAAATTCCCCCTGGATCCCGCCCACAAGGCGGGACTTCTTTCGATTTTTTTTTGTGTCAGGATCTGTCCGTAGGCAGGTGTGTCCATGTGTGTGTCCGTACGTCCGTGTGTCCTTGTGTGCATCACTGACGGTATATTCCGTTGTCACACTCCCTCCATAAAACCCACGAGCAAACAATCAGATGTTACAAATTGCCTCGAGGTCGTCTCTCTGTCTGGGCGCAACATTATCTCCTGTCTGGCCTTCCCCATGAACCCAAAACACAGACGTCACAAATGTCTCATAGGCGTCTTTGTTCGCACCACCTGGAGGGAGGGGCAACGCTCTCTCCGACCCGGCGCACAAAGAAATGGCCAAAAGTTTTAAGTTAACATTTGTCCCTTACTATTTCACAGCCATGATTCCGCATGTAACCCAAGGTCTGTCGTTTCCCATCGTGGTGCCCGACCCAAGTGGAGGCGTCTCCCCGAGCGTACACACACTCCCATCCCGCGCTGCGGGGATACAAAGACGGCCGGGATCTCCCTTTCTCTCCGACCCTGGGTTTAACATCGTTTTTTATTATGTATTTATATTCGACCTGGTG